TTCTTGCTCAGATGCTTCCAGTTTTGGCCATTAGGAGCACAGTCTGAGTTTAAATGACCTGTACGTGTAAATGGCTGTTATCATTTCTATCCTTCCCTTGCCAGTAAAACAGCCAGTTACTTTACAAGCAAAATGGGTTTATTCAGGAGAAGTAAAGAATTGCTATTTGGAACATACAACTGTGTCAAACCACATGCAAATCTGATAAAGCAAAGGAAAGGAAACTCTTTTATAGAGGAGAGGGGGAAATTGGGAGGGGCTGTTATTGAAAAAAAAAAAAAGTCCATTGGACGAAACTGGGAGTTTGAAGTATGGTGGCTTTTCACTGGCTCAGTTGTAACAGTCTCTCATTGACTGAGGTGTCACCAGACTAGGAGAAAAGCTTCCTCCTCCTGCTAGTGGTAGTAGTTGCAACACTTCCTGCCAGAGATGCAAGAAGTCTGTATTGATGTGATCTGTATCTCCCCTTCTGGCCTCCCAAATCCACTTCAGTTGGGTTTCTCTTCATTAATTTTCACCGAACCATTGCTTGTTTAGGGTCTGGGCAATGATCACCGAAAAGCCAGGTAAAGGAGCTTTAATTCTGAGGAAAGTAGGACAATATGTGTGCAAGTAGTCTGCTCTGAGGAACTCTGCAGTAGTAAAAGGAGCAGCGAAATACTAGCCTTTCCATTGGTGCTATCCCAGAGAAACTCAAAGGAGTAGGATCATGTGCCTGGTGCCACATTTTGCACACTCTAGACATCCTGTGTGTGCAGGATTACCGGATGGATTTAGAGACACTGGAATGCCGATTTTAGTGTTCTTGGCTGCTGAATGAAAACCACACCCCTTCTCCCTAGGTGCATAAGTGCTTAGTGAGTATTTATGGAATGACACTTGGTGTCTTCCCCTGGTCTCCCATGGTGCTATAAAAATGTGTGCATGTAGAGATTCTCTAAGAATGATAATGATACTTAGCATTTATGCTGATTTGACCTTTGTTATAGCTTGTCTTTGGAGAAGGCAATGGCACCCCACTCTAGTACTCTTGCCTGGAAATTCCCATGGACGGAGGAGCCTGGTAGGGCAGCCCATGGGGTCGCGAAGAGTCAGACATGACTGAGCAACTTCACTTTCACTTTTCACTTTTATGCATTGGAGAAGGAAATGGCAACCCACTCCAGTGTTCTTGCCTGGAGAATCCCAGGGATGGGGTCGCACAGAGTTGGACACGACTGAAGTGGTTTAGCAGCAGTAGCATAGCTTGTCTTCTGTGCTAGATTTTTTTTTTAATGGAAAATTTCAATCCTTCAAAAAAGTAGGGTGAAAAAGAAAATGAAACTCTCAGGCACCTGTCATCTTACTCAATACTTTTCAATATTTTGCCAGTCTTATTTCATCTCTTTCCCTGTTTTCAGGGTTGGGGTGGCATATTTGAAAATGAATTGCAGACATTAAAATTGAAAGAAAGGTTGGAAATAAACTCTGAGTACAAGGACTATATCTTAATTCTTTTGGTGCCTAGCACTGTGCCCGAAAATAGCGGGTGCTCAGGAAAGACTGGTTAAATTGAGAGGAGAAAGAACAAAATTATGAGAACATCATCATTTTGAGCTAACTCTAGGGCAGACCTAAGAAGGAAAAGGGTGGTGAGACTTGCCCTAAAATAACTTCTTTCACATTACCTGAATTTGTACTCTATAACTATGGTCCTCCTGTCACTTTAAGATAGCCTTAATTAAAAGAGAAAACTTAGGGAGAGTTCAGGGACTCTCCTTTATTTAAATATTTTTACAGGTAACTCCAATCTAATGACATTTTCCCAAACACAAACCAGAAATGACTTGCCCTAAAAAGGACTTTCTTAAAAAAAAAATTTAAAAAAATTACAAAAGTAGTTTATACTCATTGAAAGAAAATAGGAAATAACAGAGAAATAGAAAATAAAATTATTCAATATGTATTTCAATATGTAATTCCAGAGATAACATTATCTTGGTTAGCATTCTGATAAAATTTGAGCGTGAATCACATTGGTAATCAGAGTCAATAACTATTTATTATGTCTGTGAGAATGTGCTAGGTGTGACTGATGCATCATCTCATTAAATTCTTACAGCAGTGTTGTAAGATAAGTTAATTTTTTATAATTGTTTTGTAGCTGAGGAAATGGAAATGTGGTAAGAGTATTTGCCTTCGATCACTTAGCTGATAAGCAGGCTGGGCAGATTTCTATTGAAACACTGTTCCTCTATAGGCATAGCAGCTCTTAGAAAAACAATGTTCCCTGACTAAGTTTTCCAAGACTGAGATTTTATCAAAAACATTAACGACTGCCATTCAAGCCTTCTGCAGTTAAGTCTGTGAGAGAGTGGCTCCAGGAACCTGCAGACTTACTGTTACCTGGAGGGAAGGAAACAGGCCTCCAGGAAACCATTTCAAAGACAGTCTCAAACAAAGGGACAGGAGGAGAGAGATAGAAGGCTGCATATTTCAAGGGTTTGTGCTGGGCACACCCAGGTACCAAGGGGAGGAGAGAGATAGCAACATCCATGTGAAGGATGTGGCAGAAGCCCAGGCTTTGGAACTGAACACGTGGGCTCATACCCAGCTCCACCACTTGCTATTAATAGTTGTGTGGTCTCTGGCAAGTTCCGTAATCTCTAAACCTTTGTTTTCTCCTCTTTAAAATGAGGAGGCTAATAATTCTAAACTCACAAAGTTGAGAAAAAAGTAAGTTAATATAAGTGATTGAACTCCCAGTACATGGCACAGAATAAACGCACAAGTGAATCACTCCTCTTTTTAATGATTAATCTTCTAATGAGTTATTATTGCCTTCGGCATTTACTTGTGATGCCTTCACAAGACCCTAAGCACAGGCCATACTGTTTAATTGCTTCCTGGGTCAGATCTCTTTTGCGGTTTGATCCAGGAACCTAACCACCATTTATAACATTGTGTCTAGAGAGGAATGCTTCCTAGGTTTCCCTCAAACTCATCTAGGCTAAAATTTTGGAATACTATCCTTTAGTAAGTATGAGGCTGTCTTGAAAGTTACTAGGGTTGTTTTGTTTTTCACAGTAAATTACCACATCCCCACATCTCATTTAAAAAAATCAAAATTTTTTTCATTACAAAAGGACAAAAGTGTGTTATACTTTTCCAACAATGAAAGAAAAAAGGAAAAAAGCACCCCTGGCTAATTCCATATTCCTAATAGAATCATTGCTAACTTTTGGTTCTGTTTCTTTCTAGAGTTTTCTTATTTCTGTCATTTTAGTGGTAATCATATTCACAGATAGACTTTTTCTGCTTTTCTTTTTATTACTTAAGATTTAACTGTACATGTTTTTGTGTTATTTTGGCAGGGAATATAGTTTGGTCTCTATCCTCTCCATTTAATTGAGGGTATGTTTGCTGTGGAGATTATCAGCATCCTGGCTTTAGCATTTTCCACACTCTTACGATGACACACTTAGGATTTGAGAAGGGACATGGTTTCGGTAATGCAGAGAAGATGTGGGGCCTTGCCAAGTAGCTTTCATCACCTTAGTGTAGTTACATGGTCCAGGGAGGGCCCTCAACTATGTGGCCTCAGAAACTGAATTTTTGTTAGTAACGAAGAGCATAGCCATCTCTCATACTATCCTAGTACATGCAATTGAAGTATGAAATGAGAATGGCAATTTCATATTGTCAGAAATGCAGCACAGCAGAGTGGTGATTCTGGCAGCCACCAGTGGTCATCCTGCAGGTCATCCCTAGTCTAGAGTCATTAACGTAAATAATGTAACACAGCAGTGACAGTCACCACTTAGTGGGTCTTCAGGTCGTACTAGTGGTGAAGAACCCGCCTGCCAGTGCAGGAGATGTAAGAGATGCAGGTATGATCCCTGAGTCAGGAAGATACTCTGGAGGAGGGCATGCCTACCCACTCCAGTATTCTTGCTTGGAGAATCCAATGAACAGAGGAGCCTGGCGGACTGCAGTCCATGAAGTCGCAAAGAGTTGGACATGACTGAAGCGACTGAGCATGTATGCATGCACTGTGCATCAGGACGTGGGCTGACACTTTTTGTATTAATGTGTTAGGTCATCCAGTCCCTCAATAACTCTCTAGGAAGGTACAGTGTTTATCCCCATTTTACAGGTAAGGAGACCAAGGCCCAGTGAAGTGATAGGTGTGAGGTTTCATACTTTCTGTCTAAAGCCAAACCTCAGATCTGAAATGCTGTGCTGTAGTCTGTTATTCTTGCAGATTCTTGCCTCCTGTGTTGGCATCCTTTTGTGTCCTCTGCCCTCTTCCCCAGCTGTTGGGGTGTGCCTTGTACTTTATCATGGCTGTAACATTTATAACTGAAAAACTTGATTTTTTCATCTCTGTTTCAAGAAACAAGTTTTTCCAGCTCTTCACAGAGAAGAGCTTTTGTCTTTTCCCTTATTTTCTCTTTGGGTCAAAATATGCCCTGGAACAAGAGTTCAGCTTCTCTTAAAGCTGTGCCAAGAAGGGACAACCAAGGAAGAGAGAACCATTAGGGCTGAACTTGGGGCTGTGCCAGCTCAGAACTGAGGAGGCAATGATCGGCTCTCCTTTGCCTTCTCCACCTGTGTGACATCTGGAAGTGGCTTTTCTTCTGGAGTGAATGACAGCTGGGGTGATAACCTAGAGAGAGAACTCCTGTGATGTACAGATGGCTGGAACCTTCTACCTCCAAAATCTCTGGTTTTCTGATCTTTAAGCTCTCACTGGAGAGCTCCCTTTACTGTTACAGTCAAGATCGGTTGGGGACAGGTCCTCAGTGTGTGCTGGTGAGTATTATTTCAGGTTAGGATTTCCATCTGAAACAGCACGTCTTTGTGATTGCATTTCAGGGATTGTTGGAGCAGAACGCCCAAACAAAAGCAGGCATCACACAATCAGTTGTCATCAAGTTTGCAGATTGGAATAGCTGAACTTGAAGCTTCCTGCCTGCAGTGGATGCCGAGAGATACCTATTGCTCACATAATCAAAGACATGAACTTCAACGTGACTTTCCACCTTTCCTACAGATTCCGATTGCTGTTGCTTTTTACCTTATGCCTGACAGTGGTTGGGTGGGCCACCAGTAACTACTTTGTGGGTGCTATTCAAGAGATTCCTAAAGCAAAGGATCTTGTGGCTAGTTTGAGCAAGGGTGTCGTTTTAGGGAAGAAAGGAACTGTGACAGATGAAGCATTTGTGGAAAAAGCAAAACTTGACAACTGCCCTTCTGTGTCTCCACATCTCAGTAAGTATTTGTTTTTCCTTTTTTACAAGTAGTACATACACTTTTTATTTAAATATAACAAATGTACAGAAAAGTACAAAAAGCAGAAGTGTACACAGAAGTGTACACAAAATGAGCATACCTGTGGAACCAGGATATAAGTTAAGAAATGGACTCTTCCCAGAATCCCAGAAGCTCCCATGCTCCTTTTTGTCACTACCCTTACTCCAAGTTTATAATACCAGCCATTAGATTTTTCCTATTTTTGAAACTGTATGTAATTGGAAACATAGTATGCACTCCATAAAATATATATGCTATGTAGTCTTTTATGTCTGGCTTCTGTTGCTCAGCATTATGTTTGTGAGCTGTATTCATATTGTGGACATATTATATTTATTATATGAATATCCCCAGTTTGATCATCCAGCCGCAGAAATCTCAGCAGGTATGTTAGTAGGCACGTGTGATGAGCTGGGGGTCAGTTGCCCTAGGCTGGTGGCTCTGCTTCATGTGTTTCTCACCCTCCTGGATCAGCAGGCTAACCTGGACTTACTCTCCTGGCGTCCAAAGAACAAGGGTGAAGAAATTCCAGCACATCCAAGCCTCCACTCGTATTACATCTGTTAGCACTCCCTTGGCCCTCGGTATGGAGTCAAGGGACAGGATAGTACTTTTTCAGTGTTGTCTTAGTGTATTACCTAGATATGTTATATGTGTGGATTCTCCTCTAATGCCTTGCCTTTCACTCTAAATGAACAGTAAGTTGGTCTTAGGAAGCACATTAATTGGGAAAAACTCCACAGCAACATTCTGTCTAACCCACAAAGGTTATATCAGACCCCCCTAGAACATCTAAGACCTTGTAGTTCTCCAGATAATCCTCAGAGTATCTTTCCAGAATTGCCTTTCCTCAACCCATGTGGGTCTGGCGGATTCATGTTTAGTCATCAGAGGTGTGGTTTAGATCACTTCTCTCCCAGAAAGTTTTCTGGGACTGTCCCGGAGTTAATTCAGGCTCCCTGTGTGCCTGCCTTTGTTTCTGTTGTTGTGTTGGTCAGTGTATTGTCTCATGGTTGACTTTCTTTCCCAGGAGACAGTGTGCAGGCAGGATGAAGGCAGGGTGATCCTTTCTAGCTCTGTGAAGTTCAGAACTCCCCTGTGGTCTTTCAGAGGTGGCTCTCTGCATACACCCACTTAGCACTCTGGGGTCAGTCTTGGGCTCTTCAGAGGCTTCTTGCACGTAGTTACACAAAACCAGTAGACCCTTTTCTTGAGTGACTCTCAGACTCATACTGTGCTCATACTGGCATGCTGCTTCCCTTTACTCAGTCATAGAAAAGCCAAAAATTTTTCCTGATTGTTTGAGGGAACTCATTCTGCTCACAAATTACACAAGTTGAGATGGGAAAATGAGTTATTGAAACACAGATCTGACCGCATCATGCCCCTTGTTCAAAATCCTCTCAACATACTTAAGCAACAGATACATTCATGGAAACAGATGGGCAGTGACACAATAGTGCGTATGGATCCAAAGGGTGATGCAGTAATAATCAATCAGGATAGACCATTAGTGACCCAGGGAGGGACAGAACTTGAGAAAATATCATGGGGGCACTAAGGGAGAATGCTAGAGCAAGTGGAACCAGGTACTCAAGATTAAGTATGTTGAAAGTTGTGACCATGAGAGAGTGAGCAGGGGCACTGGTTTTCATCAAACCTGTTGCTTGGTGTTCTCTCAGGGGCCAGGAACTGAGACATGGTCCAGTTAGCCCAGATGATGGGATTTATGAACAGGTTACATAGGAAAACATTGCAGCGGCCATCCATCGCATCATCTCCCAGCAGCTCTGGTAGCTTGCTTTTCCTTATAACTCCTTTTCTTATTGTTTGTTTTTACGGCATTATTGCCTGCTGACCCTGTCTCATGTGTAGACCCTGCTGAAAATGGTCTTGTAGGTCAGTTATTTTCTCTAGGTGTCTGGAAGCAGTTACCTGCTCTTGGTGCTATTGTCTTTTGGCCGTGGCCAGCGTGGAGGATGGTCACATGAAGCAAGGCACAGTGACATACATGGGAAAAGTGGGCGACTGCTTTGCTCAGAAGAGGATAGTGCAGTTGCAAGCATCTTGAGATTTTGTAGCCTGACCAGAATATGAGGAGTTTTAAAATGTGTGGCTCTGTTCCTTAACCAGAGCCCTGCCTCCTCCCTTACCAGTCAGTATTTCCTGTTCATTCAGATCTGAGGGGAGGGTCAGTGGCTTCAGCTGTATCTTTAAAGCCTTGTGTGAGATTGGTTACCGTGGATGGTCTTGGGTTTCATCCAGCCAGGCTGTGCCCAGACTTGCTGAGCAAATGCCCCATTGGGGATATCTGCTGTGTGAAACAGTGGGAGGGTTCTTAATGGTGTTGCACATACCTGTTATTGTTGAGTTAGGGAGGGAGGCTAGTTTCTCTTTCTTTTCACTGTTTTACCTTCAAGGAGTTAGTATGGCTCTCAAGAGCTTAGGGAAGGACTTTACAGAGAAGGTCCTTGTCCATGAGGTTGATGCCATGGAATGCTTTTAATTTTTAAAAAATTATTTTTGGCCGTGTTGGGTCTTTGTTGCTGCATGCAGGTTTTCTGTAGTTGCAGCAAGCAGGGACCTCCTCTCTAGTTGCGGTCTGAGGGCTTCTCATTGTGGTGGCTTCTCTTGTCGCAGAGCATGGGCTTTGGTGCATGGGCTTCAGTAGTTGTAGCCTTCGGGCTTAGTTGGCTCTGTGGAATCTTCCCAATCTGGTTATCGAACCCCTGCATCAGCAAGTGGACTCTTAACCACCAGACCACCAGGGAAGTCCTGGAATGCCTTGATTTTTAGGAGACTTCACCCTCCTTTGGAACTTTTTTTAATGACAACCAAAAAGTTGGATTTATTTATTCATTCGTGTATTCATTCATTCCATGGGTGAGGCTTCCTGTTATTCCCCCCCCCCCCTTTGGAATTTTGAGAAGGAAAAGAGATTAGAGCAAATTTGAAGTTATTTAGTCTGCCCCTGATCTCTGCTCTTCACCAGGGTCATCAGGACAGAGTATATTTCCTTGTACAGATGAATCAGAGAACCAGAACTGGTTACTCTGCCACAGGGGACTGCTTTTGTATGTCATTTGCTTTTTTTTGCCAATAACCTGAGTCATAGATTCTGTGGTTCTGTGGTTTATATTGCGTGACCAAAGGAGGCTTTACAATAGTGCTTATGGCATGCCAGGCAATGTGCAAAGTGTGTGGCATGTACTAGCTCCTGCAAGCCTATCAACACGTGATAAGCTTGCTCCTGTTAGTTCCTGTGTCCTGTGTTTATTGTAGAAGGCCAGACCAAGCTCGTGTTCAAGCCAGATCTCACTCTGGAGGAAGTCCAGGCAGAGAACCCCACGGTGCACAGAGGCCGGCATCGCCCCGAGGAGTGCAGGGCTCTGCAGCGGGTTGCCATCCTCATCCCTCACCGGCACAGGGAGAAGCACCTGCTCTACCTGCTGGAGCACCTTCACCCCTTCTTGCAGAGGCAGCAGCTGGACTATGGCATCTACGTTATCCACCAGGTGAGTCGGGGGGGTGGACAAGGCCTCTGCCCTCCAGGCTCCCCTCTCTGTGGCTCTTTGTCTGTCTTGGGTAAAAGAGCGTCTAACCATCATTAAAAGTGAGGTCTCTTAACTCACTTATCCTTGACAGGAGTAAAGGAGTTTCTTGTCCTAGATTTTGAAATAATGGGAAAAGTGCTGAGAAATTTTACTTGGTCTTTAGTGAACATCTGGAGGAAGCCTGTTTGCTTTTGTGAGCCCTTCCATGTTAACCAATGACTGCCCTGAGATATTCCCCTGGTCTTGACCTTACATTGCCTTCTGCGTTTGCTCTGCATTACATGGTGAGATGTTGGAACCATGCTTTATTATTGAGCTTGGCTCTTTGATGGGGAACTAGACAGAGGAGTTGACTGCTTTGTGCTAATCACCATGGAATTCTATAACTCTGTCTACCTCTCCGCCTTTAACTTTGCCACTATCTATTACATAAAACATTATGTTTAGTTTTCACTTTTTGATTCACTTTTGTGACCTCCAGAAGCATGAGTTAGTAGGAACACAGTAAGTATAAGTGTAGGCTGCTTTTGAAGAGTTTTGCTCTAAATGGAGCAAGTGATTTAAGATGCCTCTATTTGGTTTTAACATATATTGAAAGAAAAATAAGACATCAACTTAAATATCTCTTTTATGGCTATCTTTTCAAAATTATCCTGGGCCATCCAAATAATTCCCCCTCAAATCCTTACAAATGCTATGAAGGCAAGTGCTCAGTTTTGTCTGACTCTTTGTGACCCCATGGACTGTAGCCCACCAGGCTCCTCTGTCCCTGGAATTTTCCAGGTAAGAATACTGGAGTGGGTTACCATTTCTTCCTCCATTGAATATAGGGAAAATAATTAACTACATGCCTAATATCAGTTATAACTGGTAACATTTGTCTTAGGAAAACTTTTGATAGATCAGAAGATGTTATTCTGCAGTATATACATTGTAATAAACTGGGACTCTTAGAAATTGTATATATATACATATATAATATATATATATATATGTGTACATATATAAAACATCTCTGCCCATTTTCTGAGGATTTGAAAAAAATTAACTGTTATGCTGGTTTGTCATTATTTTTGTTTTTAACAGTTAGTTATTCAGAGTTCCTACTCAAATCAGCAGCCCCCAGCATATAATATTTTTATGAGTAGAAAAATATGTATGCTTTATGTTATTCTTTTCAGGGAAGTACTGTGGTGAGTTTTGAGAATTGCCTGTATTTTTATTGTGATAAACTGTTTACTGAACTGGAATCTATTCTTAAGGAATTTGATTCAAGTAGCCATGAAAAAATTACTAGTGTAAATTTTTTTTAATACTATAGCTTTGATTATGTTACTGTTGATTTATGTTCTTTTCTTACCTGGTAATGAATCCCCTCTGTTAGGCCACTGTGAGGATTAGCGTCTGCCATTAACTGTTAAAACAGGATTCTTTCACAATGATTCCATGAAACTTTTAAGTAGCTTAGGAATATTAGCAGTAGACCTCTCTATTTATAGATCAAGATTTCTTTTCCTTTGTTTTTGTGGACCTCACCGTGCGGCATGTGGGATCTTAATTCCCTAACCAGGGATTGAACCCAGCCCCCCTGCAGTGGAAGTTCAGAGTTATAACCATCAGATCAGCAGAGAAGTCCCTAGGTTAAGATTTTTTTTATCCTTTCTGGCCAGCTGTATTTTGGGGGAGCTTAGTGTAGCTTTGTTACATGGGCTATGATTGGGATTAGCTGAGAGTTGAACAGTGAAGCAGTGATACTACTTGTCATGACTAGTATATAAGAAAGGTTTTTAGTTTTACATGGAATAAATAAAGGTATGTTTAAAGATTTTTTGAGTTTCTTTATTAGTAAAAACTTTTAAAAAATATGTTTTTTAAAAAAATTGTTATAAAACACACATAAAATATACCATCTTAACCATTTTTATTGTACGGTTCAGGAGTGTTTAGTATATTCATATTATTGTGCAACTGATCTCAGCTCATCATTTTTCCTGTGAAACTGAAACTCTAAACCCATTAAACAACAGTCTTTCATTTTAAGGTGCTTTTAGTTATGGAATATATGTATGTATGAGGCATAAAGAAGAACACAAAGGGTCTGTTATTGTTAATTCAATCTACTGTGTCAGATTTTCATGTCATGTATATATTCTTGTGTGTTAGCGAATAATGCCTATTCCTGCATGTGAAATGAAGAGGGACACAGTGTGAAATCTTGTCTTAGGAACTTTTCAAGTTGTAATTTCCATATCTACAGGCTGGAAGTAAGAAGTTTAATCGTGCCAAACTCCTGAATGTGGGCTATATAGAAGCTCTCAAAGATGAAATTTGGGACTGTTTCATATTCCACGATGTGGACCTGGTACCAGAGAACGATTTGAACCTTTACAGGTGTGAGGATCAGCCCAGGCATCTGGTGGTTGGCAGGAACAGCACGGGGTACAGGTAAGGTGGCTTTGCTCATGGCTGGCTGGGGTCAGGATGCCTGTCCTGTTGTCATCAAGGCTGTGGAGACGTAGTGTCTGGGGGTGTCTGCAGAAAATGAGAAATAGGAAGAATGGTTCATGACAGCTCCTTCAAAGTTTAAAACAGGAATTAGAGAAATTAGATTTTTTTTTCTAATTAGGAAAAAGTCCTACAAACGCTTTGGCAGAAGATCACAAAGATAAAGGGGGAGAGAACAGGAGAGGGAAAATAATAGAAACATTGCACATGGTGGCCAGACTTGCCTGCAAGGCCCACCTGGTAGAACTTTGCTAAGCGCTCCCACACTGAGTAGGGCTACAGTAACTTATCTATCTGTCCCTGACTTCTGTCTCTAGGAGGCAAAGAGAGGGAGCATCCAGGTCAGCTTTTAGGCCTCTTTTGTGAGACTGTGATGTCTCTTTCCAGACTGTGGCGTCTTTCTAGACTCCAGGGGGAGCCTGGGAGGGGCATGTGCATCGAGTGGTCTGCCCGGGAGCTGGGACACCCAGGACAAGTCCCTTTCTCTTAAAACCACTGTGGGAAGAGCTAGGCACCGTCATTTCTGCTTCCAGTCCCCATCCCACCCCTTCCCTCAGGAGAGGCATAGGTGCTTTTCAGTCTTAGTTTATTAATAAGTTCCTCTTTGAAAACAACTGAGAGGAAATAGTGAGCAGGAAGTTTTCCCAAAAGTGAAACTACATGTTCACTTATATGTGTGCACACTTACCTGTCAGCCTTCCCCAAGCCCTTCCTGTCACATGTGCTCACATATGGGGTGCTTACTATGCTGGGGCCAGGAGAGCAGTCTGAAGACGGGAGAGTGCCTGCCCTCACAGTGCTTCCTGGTGTGTGTGGGGAGACGGGCATGTGGAGTGGAGCTGTGTTCGCTTTGCACTTCTCTTGTGCAAATTCAACTAGAAGCGCTTGTTAATGAGGCGGAGAGTATGGGAGTGGTGAGGCAGAGGAAGAGACAGCTATAAAATAATAAGGGAAATTCCACCAGGGTCTACTCCAGGAAGTGAGCACAATCTCTTGACGCCTCCCTTGGTCTTGGTTTCCATGTTCTTAGTATGTAGGTTTCTCACTTTGGACTATTTAAGAGTTTTCCAGGAGTAACACTGACTGCAGGGAATTTTTGCCTCAGGTAAGACTGTACAGACAGAGGATGAGATAGTTGGACGGCATCACTGACTTGATGGACATGAGTTTGAGTAAGCTCTGGGAGTTGGTCATGGACAGGGAAGCCTGGCGTGCTGCAGTCCATGGAGTCTCAAAGAGTGGGACACGACTGAGTGACTGAACTGAACTGATAGACTGTAAATTCAGTCCCTGTTTAAAGTATGGGATGTAAATAAACGCCTAGACTAAACTACAGTGGGTGAGAGCACACTGACTTTAAGGAACACCTAGGGAAGGGTTTAAAGCTGTTGTTCAGGAAACATGGCACCTTTATCTTGTGGAATCAATGGGAGCTTCCCAGCAGAGTTCCTGGACATGGAAGCAAGAGAGAATGTGGCACAGGTTTGGAGGAAAGGCAGGTGGCTCATTAGTGCTGGAGAATGAATGTCTGGGGTGGGTGGAAGGAGGAGAGGCTAGAGATGAGACTGGGCAGGGGCCGGGTTAGGCAGGCCTTATTCAGTCTGGTAAAGCATTTGGAGTTCCTGTGGAAGGTATCAGAGTGCTGCTGACATTCGGTTAGAACCAGAGAATGACAGGAGAAAGATCAGTTCAGCTGGCCTTTGGTGAGGGATGGAGCCAGGCAGGAGGGGAGAAGATGAGGGCAGAGGCCCACTCCTGCCTCCAGGCTCCAGGGACAGTGGGGCAGGAGGGCAGGGGAAGGTCCAGAAGAGAATCCCAGGATTTTTTCTTTCGGGAAACTTGATCATTTTCTGGAGGTTTTGGTGTCTGGTCTCTGAGCCACCTCTGTGTTGAAGAAAGCAGTGTATCATATCCGGGTACCTTGGTATTTTCAGAAGGATGGCAATTATCTGCTCACTTACTGGTAATGAGATGTCACTTTCTACAATATAGAATACTGTACTTCAGACCCTTGACATGGATGATAACTTCCCATTGCCCAGTCTTTCTAAACACTGTGGTGAGAAATTATAGTCACACAGGATTGTTCTTTTGTTTATTTTTGGAGTATGGCTATACTGGATTATTTCAAGGACAGCCCTTTTGTTGGGATTCTAGATTTTATCTCTGCTTTAAGCTGGACTATAAGAAAATGAGCTCTTGGGCATTCCTGCTGGGAACCAATCTGGAGTATAACTTTGGTATGATGATTGTGGGTTTTATCAGATGCCACACAGTCTAAAAACAGCCCCTTTTGAATCTTGCTGTTTTTTTGGCCAAATGTTTCTTTTATAACTAGATATCTGGCAGTCTTTGTCTTCCTTGAATAACTGACAGTTTTCCTAATGTAAATCATGTGGTTGACTGTGTCTCCTCTTTTGATCTGGATGCAAGAAGCTGGGAGCCAAATCTATGACCTTCTTGTAGAAGCTGAAAGAGTCTTATTTGCAGATCAGAGTTCTAATGTATTTCCTATTCTAATTTTCTGATTTAAGTTTTCCTCTAGTCCTGGTTTGTCCTTTATATTTTTCAGTTTTGCTGTATGTATCATGTAAACGGCCTCATCTCCTGTGGTCCAGGGAAGGCTTGCATAGGTAATACAGGAGTTGTCTTCATCCCCCTTACTTCTTGCCTTTCCTCTTTTGGGCAGAATCTCTCTAGTTGCTGGCAGTTGCAGTCAGCTGCGGGCAACTAAGTGTCTGCTGCCTGCTGGTAACTGTCTGTCCCTGCACCATAGAGCTTAAATCAGCACAATGCTCTCACAACTGCCCGTTGAGTACAAAAAGTGCAAGAAATGTTTTCACTTTACACACATGCGGAGGGAAGAACTTTAAGTATCTTGTCTCAACTATCTCAGTGTCTGTGAAGATAGAAATAAATCTTGTTTCTCCCCGTGATTATGTCAGTGATAAAGATCTCTTCTAGGCCGTGTGACATTTTGTTGCCAAGAATTCCTCTGATACCTTCCTGCTTTCTACAAGGACTCTATTATTATTTTATGACTGCATTTTCCCCATCCTTGGGCCTTTAAAAATAAGTAAAACTGTCTCTGGACCAATCAAACATTTATGCTTTTCTAGGTAAGAAGAAACGGAGAAGGCAATGGCACCCCACTCCAGTGCTCTTGCCTGGAAAATCCCATGGACGGAGGAGCCTGGTAGGCTGCAGCCCATGGGGTCCCAAAGAGTCGGACACGACTGAGCGACTTCACTTTCACTTTTCACTTTAATGCATTGGAGAAGGAAATGGCAACCCACTCCAGTGTTCTTGCCTGGAGAATCCCAGGGATGGGGTCGCACAGAGTTGGGCATGACTGAAGTGACTTAGCAGCAGTAGCAGGTAAGAAGAAAAACCAGGAGCAATGAACAATAAACATGTAGATGTTTGGCACCTAAGAGGCAACTGAGAAACTGATAATTCTTGAACCTTTCTTTCCAGTTGGTCTCCTGCTGCACCTCCTACTGCAGCTGAACAGGTCTCAGATTCTCCTCAGACAGCCTGTACCTTTCTCCCTCTCTGCTTTTCCTGATGGAGTTCGGGTCACCAGATGTTAGTCACTCACCCGTGTCTGACTCTTTGTGATCCAGGCTCTTCTGTACATGGAATTCTTCAGGCAGGAATATGGGAGTGGGTAGCCTTTCCCTTCTTCAGGGGTTTTTCCCAACTCAGGGATTGAACCTGGTTTCCCGCATCGCAGGCAGATTCTTTACCATCTGAACCACCAGGGAAGCCCCTGATTACCAGGAGTTTCCCCCATTTTTCTACCTCTCTGAATCCTTCCAGGCCCACTTGCCCTGATGTTGTCGTCTCCTTCCTCAGAACCCCGAGAAGAGTCACCTCTCTTGTTGGACTGTCAACCGCGTGTGAGGCTGGGCCCACTTATTCCAGTGTTCAGCCAGCTGCTTTGCACCCAGTGGATAATAGTTACTTAATAGATGACTCCAGGTCATCAGTGCTGTTCCCTCCTGGTGACCCCTTGTTGGTGCTCTGCAGGTTATGCCTGAGCACTGATTCTACTCAGGGTCCTGATGAAGCTGCTGGTCTTAAGGTAGTTTAGGAATCCCTTCCCAGCCAAACAGTGCCCAGTCACCATGGCAACAAGTCACTGTAGTTGATGTCTTGGTCAATAACACCTGTCTTCTGAGCACTTTGTTCTTTTTGTTTGTTTTAGGTTGGGGGTATATAAGTAAATCTGTTTCCATTGTGGGTTAAGCAGGGTCCATCCCATCTGTACTCAGAACATAGAAACAAACAGCTGAGCTACAAATTAACTTTTGGGACTTCATCTGTTAGATGGCAAGTGTCAACATCAGGGGTCCCTAACCGCTGGGATCTAATGCCTGATGATCTGAGGTGGACCTGATGTAATAATAATTAGTAATGAAGTGCACAGTAAATGTAATGCACTTGAATCACCCCCAAACCATCCTCCTCTCACCTCCTGCATTGTCCATGGAAAAATTGTCTTCCACAAAACTGGTCCCTGGTGCCAAAAAGACTGGGAACTGCTGGTCTACATGATGATTGATCTTTCCTTTTAGTTTTCCTTCTTATGTGGAAAAGCAGAAATATTTCATTGGTCCTGGAATACTTTGAACTGACATTAATTAAAGTAAGAAGTCCTCCACATGTTAATGTTCTCTTATTCGGTAACATCCAAGTTGTTAAGCTGCCTTCATTTGCGTTTCTAAATGGTTGCCGTGTTCTAAGGGATGCCTTTATTTCTCAGATGTGCTAGTCTGTCTGCCAATAATCCATTAGTCCTAAATGAGTGGGACATGCTCTCTGGCCAGTGCCTCTATTCTTCCCCTTTTCCTTGTTGGTATCCCCACAGCTCTGCCCTCTACACTCTTCTCTCTTTACTTATTGCATTGTCTTCAGGCAACTTTTGCTACTCTTGTGCCCTCAGGTACCACCTCTTGACAGCTTATTTCCAAAGCTATCTCTGTAACTACTCTTCTGTATTGAACTTGGACCCTGTATCCTTTTTCCCACTGGCAGAAATCCCATGAGTACCTCAAATTCAGCTTATCCAAATCATAATTTGTCTCCTTCTCAAAACCTAATTACTGGTTTGTATACCCTGTTTCTGTGACAGGCGTTGTCATCTACCTAGTTGCCCACGCTGGAGCCCTCAGGGTTGTTAAGGTATGTCGGGTTCTCCAGGAGGCAGGCTCTGAGGTGGAGATTTGCATAAAAGTGGAGGTTTGCATACAAAGTGTGTTCAGGAGCTGTCTCCTGCCCTCCACCCCACTCCCTAAAAAAAGTAAAAGTGAAAAACCATTCTGTTGTTCTTCAGTCATGTCGTCGTCCTCGTTCAGTCGCTCGGTCATGTCTTGACTCTTTGCAACCCCATGGACTATAGCACGCCAGGCTTCCCTCTCCTCGCAAAATTTAATGCCTAACCTGGACCCAGCCTTAGAGTTCTTCTTAACCCACAACTGTTTGGCACAACACTATTTACTGGATTTACAAGTGAGATGGAGTCTGTCATCCAGGTCTGATGTTACGATGGACATGTACAGGTACCTGTGTAGACCTCTGCACACAACCATGAACAACCAAAGGTGGGTGGCACCTTGCTTAGAGAGCCTGTCTAGACAGAGGTTGGAAGGCCAGGAGTGTGGGGAGGTGGCTCTGGAGCAGGAGTGGACAGGTTAGAGAGCACAGTCTTCAGAATACGCCTGCCCTGCAGTCTGAGAGTCTGGAGCAGCTGTAGAGAACAAAAGAACTTGGTGCTAACCTTCTCACCTCTCTCCTCTCTTTCAGGTTACGTTACAGTGGATATTTTGGGGGTGTTACTGCCCTAAGTCGAGAGCAATTTTTCAAGGTGAATGGATTCTCTAACAACTACTGGGGATGGGGAGGCGAAGACGATGACCTCAGACTCAGGTGAACAACAGAGACATGTCCCCTTCACGGGGTCTGCTAGCTGTAGTTGCGTGTGGTCCCTGTGGATGCCAGGCCAGCAGGTCATGAGGCTTGAACTTGTCCTAGAAGGGTGGCAGAGAGTGGGGAGGGGGGTGAACAAGGTGGCCCAAATTGCTCTTTGCCACTGGCAGTTCAGAAATGACAGAGGATGGTCCAGTTGTGGCTTATGGATGTCTGGGGTCCAGGAGTGTTGATGGAGGTGTCTGTGGACTTGTCAGCAGGTCTTAGCTACTGAGATAGGGTCTCACCAGTGAATGGGAAGTCCCAGACTAGAGTGTCTGTAAAGCTACAATCTGAGGAAAGTGGGTAGAGGTCTGTTCTAAGCCTCTGCCTTCTCTCAGGCCACAGGTGACACTGGCAGTTCCCAGTGTTGTGCACAGCAGGGAGTGCCAGTCGCCCACCCTGGAGCAAACCAGGATGCCCTCTCCCACGCTCTGTGGGAGCAGCTGCTGGCATGACCTCAGATTCTCTTGGACTTTTTCCCACCCTGGAGGATTCACAGGGAATATGCCTGGTCTCTTCTCTCAGCCTCTTTTCCTGAACTTGGGTTTCGTGGCCAGATAGTTAAGGGTATCCCTAACTCCCAGAATTAAGTAATTTTTATCAAGAGCCTGGGGCCAGTATATTCAGACTTCTATTAACAAGGTCTGTTAGGATTCGCCCCCATCCTCCTGTTGTTGCCTCTTAGAAAGAAAACCTCTCAGCTGGGGTTCTGAATTAATAGATGTGTGGCTTCCAGCAGTTTTCCTTTGCTTTTCCATTGCTTCAGCATGAGGAAGCCATGGCTCCAGGTTGGTCTTGTTCCCAAGTCTAGGCTGAGACTCCTGCAGTGTTTTTTGGCAGGAGGGAACCAATCTCTCTGACCAAAGGCTGCCCAGGAATGGCTGTAGTGATGGGCAGCATACTTCATGGCCCAGCCCATCAGCAACCTGTGTGGCCGTGGCTTATGAAGTGGACAGAAGATGCCTGCTAGATTGCAGGGCAGGAATAGCAAGGGCTCAGCCAACGTATCCATCATATTTCCCAGCTCCTTTTTACTTCCCAGATGGGATGGTTAGTAGAATTTTACATTGGTGATGGATCTTCATTCTGTTTTTCCTGTTGCTCTTTGGCTTCAATGTAAAAGGGAGCCCCCAAGTTTGCTTTCAACATCATAGCCTCCAGAGTGGTTCTTGATTAATGCTATGAATAAACCAATTGATTTGAGCATAAAAATTTTGTGGAAATTTCTTTACTACTTATTTACTCACCTGGCAACAGGCACCACCCTCTTTATGCTTATAGAGTACATTACATTTTGCAAACGATCTTCCACATGGATTGTCTTGTTTGAGCCTGTCAGATCAACTGTGTGTACCATTGCTATTTTACAGTTGAGGAAACCCAGGTCTGGAATAGTGAACTGACTTCCCCAAGGTTGTAAATAATAAAGTCTAGTTTTGAATCTAGGTTTGTGACCTTCAGCAGTTGTACTTTCCCTAAAGAAGAAAACACTAAGTAAATTAGGGCTCCTGAGAGACTTGGCCTTTTAAAGATCTATTTTCTCAGCTGTTTTTAGAAAACAACAAACTGTGTATTGATACATCTTTGCACCTCATTAGTAAATGTTAAGTGTGATTCTTTTATGGATTTATTGCCTGAGTTCAACGTAAGAAAATTCTTTTTTTAAAATACCAAAATAATCAAGATATATGTATGGGCACATGTATATAAATTTTTGCAAGTGATTTTTTTCTAAAGTGCCTAGTGGCAGATAAGTGGAATAGAATTTTTCTTTAAAGACCTCTGTTATTTTTCCAGGGTTGAACTTCATAGAATGAAAATAACCCGGCCACTGCCTGAAGTGGGTAAATATACAATGATCTTCCACAAGAGAGACCAAGGCAATGAAGTGAATATAGAACGGTAAGTCCTGGAGTCACGTGCCTGACAGGCTACCTGTTTAATCTCTTCAGTCCATAGTCGTATGCCAGATTTGATTAGATAAACCAGTTTATTTTGTTCAGAGCTTTCTCTTAAGGTAATTTTTCAAACAGACCCAAAAGCAAAGGGAATAGTCTATTGAATTCTCACATAGACGTACCCCATATCCAGTTCCAATAGTTATCAATTCATAGACTCTCTTTTTTTCTCTCACTTTCTTTTCCTCACCCACTGGATTGTTTAGAAGCAAATCAGATATCACAGCATTTCATGTGTAAATAATTCAACATGTATCCTTAAAATAAAAAACTAAAAAAACGAATTGCAGTACCATTATCATGTGCATGCATGCTCAGTTGTGTCCGACTCTTTGCGACCCCTGGAGAAAGCAATAGCACCCCACTCCAGTACTCTTGCCTGGAAAATCCCATGGATGGAGGAGCCTGGTAGGCTGCAGTCCATGGGGTTGCTAAGAGTCAGACACAACTGAGCGACTTCACTTTCACTTTTCACTTTCATGCATTGGAGAAGGAAATGGCAACCCACTCCAGTGTTCTTGCCTGGAGAATCCCAGTGATGGGGGAGCCTGGTGGGCTGCTGTCTATGGGGTCGCACAGAGTTGGACATGACTGCAATGACTTAGCAGCAGCATCAGCTTTGTGACCCCATGGACTGCAGCCTGCCAGGCTCCTTTGTCTTTGAGATTTTCCTGGCAAGAACACTGGACTGGGTTGCCATTTCCTACTCCAAGAGATCTTCCCGACCCACGGATTGAACCTATGTCTCCTGCTATGGTAGGCGGATTCTTTACCACTGTGCCACCTAGGAAGCCACCTTTATCATACCTAAAATAAAATTACTTCTTTACTGTTATCAGATGTCCAATTAATGTTCAGATTTCCCTGATTATCTCATAAATGCTTAAAAATTTTTTTAAACACTTGGTTTATTCAGGTAAGGATTCTAGATACGGTCGGCACATGACATTTGAATGATCTCTCTGAAATTACTTTTAATTTGTAGGTTCCCCCTTCCTTTTTTCCCCATTGTAAGTTATTTGAACAAGCCAGGTCATTTGTTTGATGGAATTTTCACATCGTGGGATAAAGGGAAAAAATTGGCATTTGTGTATCATTTCAAAATGATGAGTGTATGCTACCTTCATCCTTCCGAATGTAGTTGATATTCTTTTTGATGCTTGGATTGTCTTTGGCAAACGTTATCTTTTCCTAGCTGTTCCTGAACCCATTGACATAGCTCTAGTTGTTTTGAAAGCTTCTGTCCCTTTGCTCTGGTGTGATGAGCTGTTTTAGGTTCATCTTGTGTTTCTGCCCCAGGAATTAACTCTTTCACCAAGGAATCCTGATGGAGAAACCAGTTCTTTTGGGTGCTATGACTGAGGATTCATAGATTCTCTGAAGCTTATCCAAGGGCCTGTCAGCAGTGGATAACATGTATCATTGTACATCCTTCTGTCCTGTAGACCAGGGGCTCACCACTTGCAGGACTGTCCTCATCATTGGTTCTCAAGGTCTTCCATGGGAACACATGGCTGTCGTTGGTGTCTGTTACCTTAATGAGAAAATTTAACTTCTTTTACAGTAGGAAGCCCAGCAGGTGCAATAATTTAGAAAGATGCCTTTGCCAAACTTTATGGCAAGGCAAAAAGCAATGGAAATAGATGTTAAATTCTTATCATTCATGTTTGTTCTTTTTGTCTTTAGGATGAATCTCTTACATCAGGTGTCGCGTGTCTGGAGAACAGATGGGTTGAGCAGCTGTGATTATAAATTACTCTCTGTGAATTACAATCCTTTGTATGTCAACATCACAGTGGATTTCTGGTCTGATCCATGACCCTGGCTCTTCTGGTGACATTTGGAGGGACTGAATATTTGATTGCAGTAATCTAGAGACTTCCCCTAGTAGCACACGTTAAGAACTTGCTGTGGCCGATCTTTGAGCTGGTTTTCCCTCTTTGGTATTTTCTTAGCAGAGTTCCTGGTGATGTGGAATGTAAAACAATTGTAGAAGACAGCTTTCTTAGTTGTTTTGATCATGAAGGTAAACTATGGTACTGTAGATAACTTGAAGGAATAAGTATGAAAGGACCACTCAAAAGATACCATGAAGACTACTTGAGAACTCTGATTAGAGAAGATTTATTTCTGTTTGAAGTGATACATATTTTCTGGAATGAAAAAGGCCATGGGAAATAAGATGCTGAATGTCCCAGAGAATCAGAATTATTCTCGTCCCAGGGGGAAGGGGTTGAAGACAAGTTTCTCTTACTCATTTATCCTGTGGGGTTGTCTGTGAAGAGGTGGGTCCCATGTGAGAGGAAGGCTGAAGAAGAGGAGAGAAAGGTGAAGAATCAAGATACCATGAACTTGGGGCTGAAGAGGTGGCAGAAGGACCACATCAGGCAGAGAGCAGAGAGCAGCTGTGGCTATGGCCGTGCGTCAGGTGTCCCCTGCCCAGGTACCCCTTCCAGCTCCAGTTCAGCAGAGAACACATTTTATCTACTAGTTTTTAGGGCATTTTTGTAAAATCATTTTGTACGTGTAGGGTATGATGTAGCAGTTTACAAATTGCATATTAACTAATAATACATTGGAAATACCTCTGAAGTAAAATATGAATAAGCTTTGGTTGTTCATTCTTGTTTTTTTTTAACTGTTCTTTTGTTACCAAACCAAACTTGGGTGTGCTTTCCCACATGCAGTACGGCCAGTCTACTGAAAGCAGTCTGTGGTGAAGCACTTATTGTGGGCACCAAGCAAGTAACCCAGGCAGCCAGTGCTTAAGAGGTTCAAGCACTTAAAAAAAATTTTATTCATTTTAATTGGAGGCTGATTACTTTACAGTATTGTAGTGGTTTTTGCCATACACTGACATGAATCAGCCATGGGTGTACATGTGTCCCCCATCCTGAACCCCCTTCCCCCTTCCCTCTCCCTCCCCATTCCATCCCTCAGGGTCGTCCCAGTGCACCAGCCCTGAGCACCCTGTCTCATGCATCAAACCTGGGCTGGTGATCTGTTTCACATATGGTGATATACATGTTTCAGTACTATTCTCTCAAATCATCCCACCCTCGCCTTCTCCCACAGAGTCCAAAAATCTGTTCTTTACATCTGTGTCTCTTTTGCTGTCTCGTGTATAGGGTCATTGTTACCATCTTTCTAAATTCCATATATATGCATTAATATACTGTATTGGTGTCTTTCTTTCTGACTTACATCACTCTGTATAATAGGCTCCAGTTTCATCCACCTCATTAGAACTGATTCAAATACATTCTTTTTAGTAGCTGAGTAATATTCCATTGTGTACATGTACCACAGCTTTCTTATCCATTTGTCAGTCAATGGACATCTAGTTTGCTTCCATGTCTTAGCTGTTGTAAACAATGCTGCAGTGAACATTGGGGTACATGTGTCTCTTTCAGATCTGGTTTCCTTGGTGTATATGCCCAGCAGTGGGATTGCTGGGTTGTATGACAGTTCTTTTTCCAGTTTTTTAAGGAATCTTAAAAAACTGTTCACACTGTTCTCCACAGTGGCTGTACTAGTTTGCATTCCCACAACAGTGTAAGAGAGTTCCCTTTTCTCCATACCCTCAACAGCATTTATTGTTTGTAGACTTTTTGATACCTGTCATGTTGACCAGCGTGAGATGGTACCTCACTGTGGTTTTGATTTGCATTTCTTTGATATTGAGTGATGTTGAGAATCTTTTCATGTGTTTGCTAGCTATCTGTATGTCTTCTTTGGAGAAATGTCTGTTTAGTTCTTTGGCCCGTTGTTTGATTGGGTCGTTTATTTTTCTGGTATTGAGCTGCATGAGCTGCTTGTATATTTATGAGATTAATTCTTTGTCAGTTTCGTCATTTGCTATTATTTTCTCCCATTCTGAAGGCTTCTTTTCACCTTGCTCAAACACTTTTAGGGAAAAGTTTTTAAAGACAGGATGAGAGAGAGGGGTTGCAGTGTGTGATCAGCTCATGGACATCCTTCTGATTGGTTGTTGGTAAGGTAATCAGGAGTCAGCATCATCAACCTTCTGGTTCCAGCACATCCAACACATCTGGTGTCTAGGTGTTTGTGGGCAGCATAGAGTTAACTTCTTCCACCTGGTGAGCTTCAGTATCTGCAAAATAGCTCAAAGGACATGGCTCAGAATGTTATCTATATAGTGCTTGAGAAGGAACTAAAACTCCTTGATTTCTTTTAATAGCTAAACTCTTATAATTTTATCTTTTTTTTTTTCTCCCATCCTGTCTGCAGTTCTTCACTTCTCTGATTAAATTTTCTCTTTGAAACTTAGGGGAGACTTAGGAGGCTATAATTTCTGTACACATAAGAGGCATGTGGAGGATATGGAGGTGGGTTTCCTCCAGGAAGACTGCATAGGATCCTCCTTGGTTCCAGTTTGAGGCCTTCAGATGTGTTCATGTTGGTAATCCTACTGCTTAAAAACAAACAGGTGAGGCTCAGTCCTCTCCCTCCCTCCCGTCTTCATTCTTCTGTCACTCTGAGCTGTTATGTGCACGTTCTTGTGAGCCAGCTCCAGGCCTGTGCAGGCGCCTCTGCACCTCAGTTCCTGGGCTGTGTCGTGTTTTTGTCTTCATCCTCCTGGGGTTGCTTGTGATCAGTGATGTGCACCGAAGGGCTGCCTGAGGGGCACACCTGGTTGGTGAGAGGATGGGAAGGGCTAAAGCCAGAGCCCACGGCTCCTGAGGCTTTGATTTTGGAAGGAAGTTGGGGCCATGGCACTGATTCGGTACTTCTGAGCTTCCTGGGAGTGGGGTCGTGGTGTGGGAGGAACATCTAAGGAAGGTAACTGGAGATGGATGCTGGCTCAGAACACAAATAAGAATATTTTGTTCTCCTAGGACAATGGGCACAAATAGTGTAGATGTTGGTGTTCTTGAGCACATATTATGTACCTGCACCGGGGGCTGAAGCTCATGACCCTGGAGGCATGTGGCTGCCTGCTTGCTCTGCTGGGAAGTCTGGCCTCAGAGGAACCCAGCTTTCCCAGTTGTCTGCCCTTTGTTGTCATTTGTCATAAAGAGGCCAAACTTTTTGAGTTTTGTAGATAAAACTACTATACTTTCTGGGGATTATATGGGTGCAGTCTGTTTGGACACCACAAATACTTAAGATGAAGAAAGTACTGCTATAAAAGTTTTTATCGATTTTTTCTCACTTATACTACCACTCCTTTTTATAGTGCTTTATGGTTTATGACATTTTTACACAAACTTTATTGATGCTCTTGAGTCAAGAGAAGTAGGGTAGAAGAGGATGTGGAGGTCCCTTGGTACAATATTGTCTCCATCTGGGCCTCTCTTACTCTTATTTTTTTTCCTCTGGCCATACCGCATGGCTTGTGAGATCTTTGTTCTCTGACCAGGGATTGAATCCAGGCCCCAGCAGTGAAAGCACCAGGTCCTAACCACTGAACCTCCAGGGAATTCTCTGGATTTCTCTCATTCTTTAAGGAAGGTTTCTTATCTCTACATCCTTGTCCTAGCTCCTAGAGAAGTTTGGTTTCTTCTGGACTCATAAGTATATTCCATTCTGATCTAGTCTCTAAATTTTTTTCCCTGATTCCCTCCCTGATTTTTCTGCCCTTTTCCCCCTCACTTCCATTCAAGCCCCAAGGGGCCTTGCTTTTTCCTGGGGCCCCAGCTGCTCTGTGAATGGACTCTTGGGAGAGAGGAAAGACATTTTCTGCTAGACTAACAACATCCACTTTCCTCAAGTCCTATGTGTATATAGTGTCTCTCAAAAGCCATTAAGATGTCTCACAAAATGGAGCATATTCAGGAACATTTGATAAGTTCTTCACTCATCACATTCAAGATACTATTCCTTAGTGTCTTAAATGTTTAGGCTATTGCCACCTTCATTAGCTTCAAATACAGTTTGAAGGCCATCTTAAACCTGCTGAGAGAGCCAGACCAGTCTCTCACAAAGGAGGGGGCCTGTTGGCCCCCAGGGAGTGTACTTTACAGGTGAGCCTCCATTATTCCACTGACAGCTGCTGAAGTAAAAAACTCAAATAAGATTGAATCTTATGTACGTATGTGGGGAGTGTGGTGTGTGTGTGTGTGTGTGTGTGTGTGTGTGTGTGTGTGTGTGTGTGTGTGTGTGTGTGTGTATGTGTGTGTGTGTGAGATTTGGGGCCTTGGGCCGAGAGGTTGGTGAAAGTTGGGACACAATAATTGAATGCTGGCTCTTTGTTTTAATTTTCCTCAGTTTTTAAATTTTAACTTTCCAATAATCTCATAGGTAAATATGTAGTACTGTAAAGAAAATGCAGATTCAAGTAACTTCCCAAAGTTGGCAAGAGGAAGAGATAAGATTTGAACCCAAGTTTCTTGACTCCACTGTCTAGTCCCCTCCTACCCCCACCCCAGAACACTCAGGAGATTATGAGATTTCTCTGTGAAGGCAGAAAGAGCAGAGATCTTTGTGTTAACGAGACTCTGGAATAATAATACACAATAATACAGGATTCTGGAAATAATATACAAAACTTGAGATGAACCCATTAAAATGCCTTATCTTGATGTCCTAGTACATTCTTTCACTATTGAGCAGAGTTTTGCTGAAAGACTCTTACTCACAGCTATTGTTTGAGGGCCAGTGAATTTAGACCAGTATGTTTGGTCATTAAGCTTATCACAGTGAATTGAAGTAACGTATTAGTTGGCATGTGGGATTATGGGCCAAACAGAGATCTTCAGACCAGATTTATAGTATAACTTCCTGTTGGTATTTCTTACAGGCTGTTAGCTGTTCAAACACATACTTCTTGCTGAATCCTCCCACTCCCCCGTGAGACCTGTCTTTCTGAAGCAGGTTTTAAGAGGCTGACTTGCCAGAGTCATGAAGTGCTGGGGATGGGTGTCAGGTTTTTGACTCCAAGGCTCATGTTCTTCACCACTTCATGGTAACAAAACAACAAATACACAGAGAGAGGAAATAAGGATAGGCAGAGTTATTTGGAGACTGTCTATCTAAAGAAGCCCAGGGACACAACTGCAGATAAGTAAGTGGGATTCTGACTCATTGCAAAAGCTCTCGAGAACACACCATGGGGAACCTCGAGGTGTCTCAGGAAAAGGGAGCCAGACCCAGTCTTATCAGAGCATTTGGGTTTGGGGTGGGTCATTTGGTGAGGGTTTAAGCCAGCCGGACGTGCTCTGTAGTGGACGTTCTCAGAAAGCAGGGGCAGTTCTATGATTGTGTATCAACACATTTTACCCACAGGGAAGGATTAGTGGAAGAATAGAGCTGTAATTATAAACACGTAGCAGTCACTTATTTTGGCCAAAAAAGGGTGTGTTTGGCATTTTGTGAGTGGCACAGTGACCTTATCTTTGTGCTTGGACAGAATTATGAAGTGGCCTTGATTTGTCTCATTTCATGACAGATTATCTGAAGCTGATATTCTGTGAATTGTTTAGGTCTAGCAGAAGAATAGCAAGGTGTGGTAGCAAATTGTGGTGTGCAATTTATCTTATTTAAAGAAGGTGTTTGCATCTGTTTTTGGAGTTGTTTGGGGTCTCCGGGGAGGGTGGTTTGGGAAGGGGTCTGGTAGTTATACATTTCTCAGCAATGTCTTTTTCCAAGATGTTTTGGATGTACTCAGTAGATGTGGCCATTCAAGCTTTGTGATAAAAATGTCACATGTGAAAGCAAACTCAGTAGCTCACAACTAGTCTCCTCTGTGTTTCTTCTTTCTTTTAAAATTTTTATAATTTTTAATTTTTTGGCCACATTGTGTAGCATGTAGGATCTTAGTTCCCTCAGCCAGGGATCAAACCTGGGCCCCCTGCAGTGAAAGAGTGAGTTCTAACCACCAGGCTGCCAGGGAATTCCCTCTTCATTTCTTCTTTGATTGAGTCTCACATACAGGAGGTGATAAGGATCTGAGTGAGGTGGAGCAGAGAAGAGAAACTAGGCACAGGAGAGTGGAGACTGTTCATTCTATAGAAATGAGAAAGCAGCTCAGCTTCCAATTCCTCAACCACAGCCTGGCTTGTCGGTCAGTCTGGTGGGGGTAGGAATTGGAGTGAGGTTAAGAGGAGGTTAAGAGGAGATTCAATTTTCAAACCCATATGACTGTTGCTATTTCTTCTTTCCTTTATGGGTAGCCAGAAACTACCTGGTCTGCTGCGTAGCTTAGGAGCAGTCCCTGTTTATTCCAGCTGATGTGGGAAAAATTTACAGTGCTAAAAAAAAAAAAATGAGCTTCCTAATGTTCAGGGTGAACAGCCTGCCAGAAGCCTGAGTAACAGTCTGAGAGGAGACGGCCAATCAAGGAGCGTGATGACCCATCCAGTATTGCAATTGGGTAAGACCTACCCCAAGGTCAGCTTGACACATTTTCAGTGTCAGGCTGGTGGTAATTGTTCTTCACCCACCCGATGAGCAGGCCTGTTGAAGCGGGAGGTTTCTCAAGATGGTTTTGTCTGCGTGTGTCTCCAGCCAGCAATCCAGAGCCCAGCTCTCCTGCTGTCGTCCCTCTCCCTGGACCGGTGGGATGGGTGGGGGCCTTCACGAGGCTGGGTCTGGGTGCCCCCTGAACAGTGTGGCTTGGGTCTTGCTGTGAGCCCCACTTCCATCCCAGAAGGAAGAGGGGTAGGGCTTGGCTTCCTGGGCAGGTGGAGAGGGTGGACGCAGGAACTGGGTAGAGGAGCTGCTCTGAGGTTAAACTTCCGAACCCGGTAGCAGGAAGTTCGGAGTCCTGAATGGCTGGATCCTCTGCAGGGAAGCCCTCAGGCCCGGGTCTGTCTCAGCTGAAAGATGTGTCCTCCCCAACAGGGGCTGAACACATTGATTACCTGGGCTCAGGGTCTTATGTGGTAGGAGGCTATCTGGAGAGGGGTTGGTGGGTAGTGACCAACTGAAGCCCATTCTTTTTCTAGTTACTTCCTGATGGAGAAGGCAGGGGGTAAAATTTAACGAGCAGTCAGTGGGCCATCTTCCTCCACAATAGCTCTTTCCAGCTCGCATTCCTGCACTGGATTCTACCAATGAAGATCCATTTCAGTTATTCAGGAAAAATCTACAGAGAAGATTAAGAGAGTATAGACTAGCTGTCACTCACACTTTAGTATGAATTAGTTTACAAAAACGCTTTACCTTAACCCAGCTGAGATCAAGTCACAAGGAGAATGGAATTTTGTCGGGAAAGAGCTCTGAAGCCTTTGAGATGGAAGGCAGGAGTGGGTCCGAGACAGGATTTGCTCAGGCTTGAGGGCACTGGGAAATCCAGTTAGCGGCAAAACGAAAAGACACCGGAACACATGAGAGAGGATGGAAAGGGAGGTGGGGGAGGCGTTTCAAAGCTTTGCCCAGAAAGCTTCTTTCTCTTCCTTTCTTCAAAAAGACCACAGAGAAACTTCTCAGCCATGTGCAGGTGTCATTTATCTTGACACACCAAGCTCTATCCTGGAGAGGCGAGTGAGGCCGGGGAGGGGCAAGCTGGTGGTGTGTCGTAACAGGAGCCTTTGAGCCCTGTCCGGGGGAATAGGGTCCTCCTCCAGCTTTACCACCCAGGTGCAGGCCAAGGCGCCATCCCCCCTGCTCTGTCCCTCCCTGCCCTGGGGCTCAGTCTGATGCACAAGAAAGGTCAAGGCCTGGGACCTGGCTATTGCATGGAAGTACCTGAAATGCCAGGTACATTTTCTTCATGGAGGGTGCGGCTGAGCAGTTGGAGTCAGAGATGCGGGGGGAAAGGATTTGAGGAGCAGCAGCCCCATTCCCACTTCTGGGTGAAGTGTAGCGGGAGCAAAACGTTAACAGAAACTTGGAAGTTCCAACCATTTAAATGTACAGTCAGATTACCCAGTATCCACCGGAAGCCACACCTTACTGCATTTTCCATCTGCTAAACTTTAATTCCGTGAGCCTCCTAAGCTCTTCTGTTGGAAAACCCATTTTGCTATACTCATACATGACCAATTATGACAGTGCTAAAAAGAAAAGGAAGTGAACATATTTAAAACCCTCTTTATTTATATAAAGACAAATGTTGTTACAAGAAATTCCTTCAGGATCACAAAAGGAAACATATCAGAAGAAAGATATTTTGCAGTGCACAAATCACCCTAAACCACCTAAATAACAGCTGGCTTGCTTCTTCCCTGTTGGAAAGCAGTTTTAGGTTGAAGGTGGTAAATATGTAACAGGTCTCTCCTTTGTCCCAAAAGTTCACATACTTTTAATTAGTGGGAGAATTGAGGTTACCAGCATGAATCACTCTGCAGTGTCTGAGGAAATTTCAACGACTGTTTGCTCAAGATCAGGCCTTGTCTTGGATAATAAAGGGTTCCCAAGCTAGCTTTAAGAGAATCACTTGAGTCTGTAGGTGAGAGCCACCATAGGACAAAGGCAAAAGATATGTTTCAGCAATCTTCTCCTTAGTTCTCTCACTGGGACTATACTGACACAATGAAAGCCTTTGAAGGGTACTTTTAGAAAGCAGTGAGAAATACAGGCAGATTTGCTGTCCCAATACAGACTTGGCTTGCAGTATAACACAGGTTCCTAGAAATGTCTTTATGCCCCCCACATTAAAAATAAACAAAGATGGGAATAGTTATTATCTACTATCCTAAATCCTCCCTTTCCTACAGTCTATAACAATGCTGCAAACTCCTAGATCAGGGTGAAAACACATGTGCTGAAAATTTCAGGAGTCTGAGAGCCTAAAGGAACTCCCTACCAACTGACTTGGCAATTTGAGGAAGAATGCCTAAGTTCCCGGGCAGCACAAAGGTAGAACATTAGGAGAGAGCATTTCCAGCACCAAATCCAAAGTCATTGTGGGGAATGGTATGGTGGGTACACTTCATTCTTAATAGTCAATTCTGCTCCAGTAGAACATGGTACCCAGGAGAACCCAGAACTAGAATATAAGAAAAATAAAAATAAATAAGGAATTGTTCTAGAAACATTGTAGTTGGGGGGAAAATTATGTTAGGTTCATTCAAGCTTAGGTGACACTGGATTTTTAAGAAGAATCTTGCCTTAAGCATCACAGAGGCAGAGGTGACTGAGTCCATCTTGTTACATGCATTGCAGGTGGATTCTTTACCGACTGAGCCACCATGGAAGCTTATCCTGTCACACAGTGAACCAGTATTTTCCCAAATGACCAGTCATGAATGGGTAAAAGATTTGTGCAAATTGCAAGACACATCAATGTAATGTACTTTAATGTAACAGAGCCCTAAAAGTTCTTTGATGAAGTTTCAGATTCCATATTGCAACTAACCTTTAAGAAACTACTACTACTTGACCAGTTTTATGTAGTGCCAAAGAAGAATATTCAGTTATTTTCAGATAAGGTTACCAAAATATTCCTCTTTTTTTTTTCAATTACATATCAGTGTGTAGGATGGATCTCCTTCAATTCTTTCAATGTAAGCAACATATAACAGATCAAATGAAGATGAAATATGGGAAGCCAACTGTCTTCAGTAAAAGCCAGACATTGAAGAGACTTCCAAAAATGTAAAAAAATGAATGCTACTTTTCTTGCTTTCTTTTTGTTTGAGAAAATAGTCTTTTTTTCCCACAGAAATATATTGTTCATAGTAACATGTAATAGTTTGTTATTGTTATTTTAAATGAATTAACACATATTTTTAAAAATTCTGTGTTAATTTGTAACAGGGTTAGTTGGTTAATTTCCCTCATAGATAAAAATCTTTTTGGAGTCCTCAGTAATTTTTGAGAAAGTGAAAATGCGTTCTGAAACCAAAAGTTTGAGACTGCTTTCTGAATGCAATGGGTCTTAATCCTGACAGCAAATTAGAATCATATGGAAAATTAAAAAAAAAAAAAAAGAAAGACCTGGGTCTTGCCCCTAAATCAACTGAAATCTGAATCTCAGAGGTTGGGGCTCAGGTATGCTCCCCTCTGGCTCCTCCATGAGGTTTTAATGTGCAGTTAGGACTGAGACCTACTGTTATACCCTCCTGGCTGCATGTGGATCAAATAAAGTGGGCAGAAGGACCAGGGGAGACTGGTGAAGGCAGCCCTTTGTAAGGAGGGAGGCAGGTGAGAGTTGGCCAGGAGGCATGTAGAGAAATGACTGTTTTTGATATCTACTTGTAATGAATTTATAAGATCTAAGGAGATGGAGAAGACGCAAGTGCACCCGTCAGCCAGAGAAGAACCTGGTTGGTAGGGGAGGTTCAAGCCTACCTCCCACCGGAAATCCACTGTCCTTCCCCTGGTGCCAGCAACCCTGCTGACAAGCTCCCAGGTCTGAGCTTTTGTTTCTAGACAGTCTAGTGTGGTTGAGTTAACCAGGGACAGTCTTGAGGTCTCTCCTCATCACTATCCTCTCAGAAATAAAACATGCGATGGGAAATACTTACAGTCCAACAGAGAATGGCAAATCCAAACCACGCAACTCCCCAGGCATGTCGGTTCATTGGTCCAGAGATCAGCTCATAGCAGCCCTGGAGAGGAGTGGGCGATTCCACATCCGCATGAAAGGGACCAGAAAAAAGAGGTAAAAGATGGTGGGAAGGTGATATGAATCAACGCCAGCCCAAAGTCCAGTTTAACACGACCAGGCTATTTCTATATCCCCGTGGACAGCCAGGTATTAACTATGCTGTACTGAAGAAATAGGAATAATCTTGCTGAACAACTATTCTATATCATATTTATTTCTGTTTCTTTTCGTTCGATCTAACTAACAAAGGTGCTTCTATTTTACGTGGAATATTTTTTTCCAGCCCTTCACTTTCAGTCTGTATGTGTCCCTTGCTTTGAGGTGGGTCTCTTGTAGACAGCATATATAGGGGTCTTGCTTTTTTATCCATTCAGCCAGCCTTTGTCTTTTGGTTGGGGCATTCAACCCATTTACATTTAAGGTAATTATTGATAGGTATGGTCCCATTGCCATTTATTTTGTTGTTTGGGGTTCACGTTTATACCACTTTTCTGTGTTTCCTGTCTAGAGAAGATCCTTTAATATTTGTTGAAGAGCTGGTTTGGTGGTGCTGAATTCTCTCAGCTTTTGCTTGTCTGTAAAGCTTTTGAGTTCTCCTTCATATCTGAATGAGATCCTTGCTGGGTAGAGTAATCTAGGTTGTAGGTTATTCTCTTTCATTACTCTAAGTATGTCCTGCCATTCCCTTCTGGCCTGAAGGGTTTCTATTGATAGATCAGCTGTTATCCTTATGGGAATCCCTTTGTGTGTTATTTGTTGTTTCTCCCTTGCTGCTTTTAATATTTGTTCTTTGTGTTTGATCTTTGTTAATTTGATTAATATGTGTCTTGGGGTGTTTCGCCTTGGGTTTATCCTGTTTGGGACTCTCTGGGTTTCTTGGACTTGGGTGGCTATTTCCTTCCCCATTTTAGGGAAGTTTTCAGCTATTATCTCCTCGAGTATCTTCTCATGGCCTTTCTTTTTGTCTTCTTCTTCTGGGACTCCTATGATTCGAATGTTGGGGTGTTTCACATTGTCCCAGAGGTCCCTGAGGTTGTCCTCATTTCTTTTGATTCTTTTTTCTTTTTTCCTCTCTGCTTCATTTATTTCCACCATTTTATCTTCTAACTCACTTATCCTATCTTCTGTCTCTGTTATTCTACTCATGGTTCCCTCCAGAGTGTTTTTGATCTCATTTATTTCATTATTAATTTTTAATTGACTTTTTAAAATTTCTTCTAGGTCCTTGTTAAACATTTCTTGCATCTTCTCAATCTTTGTCTCCAGGCTATTTATTTGTAACTCCATTTTGTTTTCAAGATTTTGGATCATTTTTATTATCATTATTCTAAATTCTTTTTCAGGTAGATTCCCTATTTCCTCCTCTTTTGTTTGACTTGGTGGGCTTTTTTCATGTTCCTTTAGCTGTTGGGTATTTCTCTGCCTTTTCATCATGTTTAGATTGCTGTGTCTGGAGTGGGCTTTCTGTATTCTTGTGGTCTGAGGTTCCTTTTTATTGTGGAGGTTTCACCCAGTGGATGGGGTTGGACAATTGGTTTGTCAAGGTTTCCTGGTTAGGGAAGCTTGTGTCAGCGTTCTGGTGCGTGGAATTGGATTTCTTCTCTCTGCAGTGCAATGGAGTGTCCAGTAATGAGTTTTGCGATGGATCTATGTGTTAGGTGTGACTTTGGAGAGCCTGTATGCTGACACTCAGGTCTATGTTTCTGCGTTGCTAAAGAATTTGCGTGGTATGTCTTGTACTGGAGCTTATTGGCTCTTGGGTGGTGGTTGGTTTTGGTGTAGGTATGGAAGCTTTTGGATGGTCTCTTATTCCTTAATGTTCCGTGTAGTCAGGAGTTTTCTGGTTTTCTCAAGATTTGGGCTTAAGTCTCCTGCCTCTGGATTTCAGTTTTATTCTTCCAATAGTCTCAAGACTTCTCCAACTAGACAGCACTGATAATAAAACTTCTAGGTTAATGGTGAAAAGATTCTCCACCGTGAGAGACAACCAGAGAGGTTCACAGAGTTACATGAAGAATAGGAGAGGGAGGAAGGAGATAGAGGTGAGCAGGAGGAGAAAAAGGGGACTCAAGAGGAGAGAGACAGATCTACGCAGTTATCTGTTCCCAAAGTGTTCTCCATAGCCCAGACACCCACAAAGATTCACAGAGTTGGATTGGGAAGAGAAGGGGAAAGGAGGAAATAGAGGTGTTCCGAGGTAGAAAACAGAGAGTCAAAAGTGGGAGAGTAATCACCACACTCCTGAATAGAAATGGGAACTGAATATTGGATTCTTAAATGACCAAAATTTATATCACATACTACTGAAAAACAAAGATTAAAAATCTAGTGTAGAGGTTAGACTCTTTGAAATACAATATTTAAAAACAAAAACACACAAAAAAATTTAGAAATGTATATGAAGTTTGATTTAAAAATAGGGTTTCTCTCTCTCTCTCTCTCTCTCTCTTTTTTTTTTTTTGGCAAGGTTATGGTGAAATGAAAATGAAAATTAAGGAATAATAGAGGAGTATTAGAGGACTTTAAAAGGAAATAGGAGAGAAAAACAAGAAAAAGAAAAGAAAAAAAAATTTTTTTCTCCCTAATTAAAAAAATCGTAAAAATATATGAAAATGAAAGTTGAGGAGTAATGGGGGAGTAATAGGGAATTTTAAAAGAAAATAAAAGAGAAAAAATAAAAAAAATTAAAAAAAAGGATAGAAAAAAATTTTTTTTTTAAATTAAAAAAAAATATATATATATATCTAGGAATTTCTCTGGAGTTGTTGCAGTCAGTGTAGGTTCAGTTCAATTTCTGATAGCTCCTCTTTTCAGCTTACACTTCTCGATATCTGTAGGCCCCTTCTGGTGTAGTCGGTGTTACCGTCAGGGATTTTAATCTGTTGCACCGGTCCTTTCTGAAGCGGTTCCCTTTGTTTATTTGGCTTCTGTTTGCCGTCTCTTCGGTGTCTAATTTCCGCCCTGACACAGGCGGGTGGAGGTGATCTCTTATTTAGGTTCTCTAGTTCAGTTCAGTCCTGCTACGGGGAGGGCGGGGCGCTGCAGACAGATACCGCTCTGTGTGGATAGCACTCACCGTGTTCCGGTCACACTGGGTTTGCCCCGCTCACGGGTGTCAGTGCTTTCCCCGTCTACACTGCTCAGGCTCCTGGCTGCTCTATATGGAGCGGGTCCGGCGTTGAGTGCGGTTCCAGGTTTCGGGTACTCCACAAAAGCGCAGATTCGGTTGCGCCTGCGTTTTGTGCCTTCCCCGGCCTGAGCGGTTCAGGCAGCCAGGGGCTTGGGCGCACTCTCCCCGGGTGCGGCGCGCCTTTTCCCTCCGCGTCGAGCGGCCCAGGCAGCCAGGGGCTTGGGCGCACTCTGCCCGGATGTGGCGCGCCTTTTCCCTCCGCCGCGGGCAGCTCAGGCAGCCAGAGGCTTGGGCGCAATCTCCCCGGGTACGGCGCGCTTTTTCCCTCCGCGGCCCCAGCGCGCACCGCCAGTCGGGTCTCAGAAGTCTTAGATAGGAACCGGGGGCCTGTTTGCAGTGTGGGAGGGGGTGGCTTCTCAGGGGCTGTTTGCCCTTTTCCTCTACCCCCTGCCTCCAACCTCCAGCGGGGATGGGCCGGCTCTTCTCTGGACTTTCTCAGTCCCTTTGTTTTGCGAACCGCCGGCAGTGTGTTCGGGCCTGTTAATTTTGACCCTTGCTATCCCACAGTTTAAAAAAGCTCCCTCCGATTGCTCTCAGGTCTTCGGGCCGGTCCTTACCCTAAGCAATGCCGCCCGCTCCTCTCCGTTCTGCCCCCGCTTGTTGCTGGCGGGTACGGGCGTCTGGGGTACTTTTCTGCTGGGAGTTGCTTTTAGGCACGTAATCTGTGGGCCTTGTTTAATTTTTCCTCCCAGTTAGATTGCTGAAAACTTCCCCCAGTCCCGCCAGTGCGAGGGTTTCCTGGTGATTGGAAACTTCCTCTATTAAGACTCCCTTCCCGGGACGGGTCTCCGTCCGTAGCTCTTTTGACTCCCTTTTTATCTTTTATATTTTGTCCTACCTCCGTTCGAAGAGAATGGGCTGCTTTTCTGGGCGCCTGATGTCCTCTGCTAGCGATCAGAAGTTGTTTTGTGAAATTTGCTCAGCATTCAAATGTTCTTTCGATGAATTTCTAGGAGAGAAAGTGGTCTCCCCGCCCTATTCCTCCGCCATCTTGGCTCCTCCCCCCAGGTGCTTCTATTTTAGCAAAACATTTTCATATTGAATATGTGGCAATGTAAAGTATTTTTAATAAAATTTGAGGTTTTTTTCTCTCCCTAAAGATTTTATTGGTGATTTTTTGAAGGCAGAGTCACTTTTTGATTTGTTTTTCAATAAAAGTGCTTCTAGTTAATGAGAATTAGGTTTTATTTTTTAATCATTAGAGGAACTCCTATACAGTGCTTTCTGAATTCTCATTTGACATTGTACTTAACATATCTTTACAGGATTCTAGAAGAGCCGCCGTGTGTGTGCGCGAAAGAGTGATTCATGTTTTACTCATTGAGTCATTCATTCATTCATGCATGCCATAATCTGGTTAGTTTTATACATAGCGCATTCTGTCCTAGTCTCCATGCAAAGTGCTGGAGTAATACACATGCATAGGGCTAGACCTGCCATTTGAGTGGCCTCTGCTAAAGCCCTTGAAATCACAGGAATGCCTAGGAGATGCAGTGACCAGATTGGTTTTATGAACCACTGAGATCCAGAGAGAAATGTCTCTGAAAGGCCGACCTTGAAGTTTATGCCCTGCCCAGTGTCTACTGTTGGTCACCTGAAGTTCTGTCCTTTCTGACCCCGCCCCAGTCTCTTGTTCATCCACTCCCATGCCCTGGCTTTGCTATATGTGCCTTGATTTCTCTTCATTTACCCTACTCCATCTACCTGACCCTTCCATTCACCCTGATGCTCAGATGAGTCTTGGAATTATCCTTAATTGTTTTTCTCTTAAGCACATCTGTTTGGATTTAAAATACACTTCAAATCCAAACATGTATTACTTCCTACTATCACCTTGGTCCACCATGGCCTCACTCCAGGGTGCCCATAGTCTCCTCCTCGCTGATTTCCCTGAGGCCCAAGTCCACCCTTGGTACCCTACTAGTTTTCATACAGTGCCAGAGGGGTCCTAGTAAAACCTGTCAGATCACTTCGCCTTCCAAAGTCTGTCTAGTCAAGGCTATGGTTTTTCCAGTAGTCATGTATGGATGTGAGAGTTGGACTATAAAAAAAGCTGAGCACCGAAGAATTGATGCTTTTGAACTCTGGTGTTGGAAAAGACTTTTCAGAGTCCCTTGGACTGCAAGGAGATCCAACCAGTCCATCCTAAAGGAAATCAGTCCTGGGTGTTCATTGGAAGGACTGATGTTGAAGCTGAAACTCCAGTACTTTGGCCGCCAAATGCGAAGAGCTGACTCATTTGAAAAGACCCTGATGCTGGGAAAGATTGAAAACGGGAGAAGAGGGGGATGACAGAGGATAAGATGGTTGGATGGCATCACTGACTCAATGGACATGGGTTTGGGTTGACTCTGGGAGTTGGTGATGGACAGGGAGTCCTTGCGTGCTGCGGTTCATGGGGTCGCAAAGAGTCAGACATGAATGAGCGACTGAACTGAACTGAACTGATATGAGGTACTGGGGTGACATACTTTGCTTTGTGGAAAGAGAGTGCTAGAGGAGAATTAGCAGGACCTGTCACTTGGATAGAGTGGTGGTGTGTGGGAATCTGGGCGATCAGAGTAGGGAGAATCAGGAGGTAAATGTAGATAAGAGAGTTAGTCAGGGGTGAGTGAGGGGGATTGAGAAAGTAGGAGCACAGGGAGTTAGAGAGGAATTTCAGAATGCAGGGTGCGAGAGCATGATTGAGTGATGTGAATTTATAGTTGTGGTGTAGCTAGTTGGTGGAGGAGGTAGTAAGGCCAAGGACTGTTAGGGAGGGTGAGACAAAAGTGTCAAAAGGAGTGTAGAGTTCCCTCATTGCTAGAATATTCTATGTGTAAGGGAAAATGGTGTGGCTAGGAAATAAGTCAATTTTTTGATGGCAAACATCCTTTTTGGTCTCTTTCAAAGACATGATCAATGTGTATGGAATTATAGTCCAATCAGATACATCTGCATGGGCTAGTTCCAAGGTTGAAATGTTAAAAGAATTTTATCATTCTTCAAAGTGATCATGATATTGCATATTGTGATTATAGGCAATACATTAATTTTTTTTAGCAGTCTGAATATAATTAAAATGATACCAAAACAATGTTGCTGAAAGGCTAAGTGAGAGTTTCTTTGAACAACTCTACAACATAATTTGTATCATTCCCATGTCTTTTTCTGGGGTAATGCAACCAATCCTAGTCCAGGTGCCCTTCCAGAGGCGGGGGCGGGGGGGGGGGGTGGTGAGGAGGGGAGGCATGATGACCAGCGGTGCTTTGTCCTTCATTCTGAAAGTACATATTGTATTATTTCTTCTGAGACTGAATAGTCTGGCATTTCTCAATTACTTAAAGTACTGGCACACAACTAGCTTTGCTCTAAGTGGTAACTGGCACAGCAGTGTAAGCATTTTAGAGGCTGACTTCAAGTGTATGAGGATTCTCTTCAGGGCTTTTTGGGATGATCACCAAGTTCCTTCTTGGCTTAGAGTCTGGGCTCTGCTGCCAGCCTGCTAGCATTTGAGTCCTGACTCTTCTACCTACCAGTCGCATGACTTGGGCAAGGCACTTATTAGTATCTCTATATCTTAGTTCCTCTTCTGTAAAATAGGGATCAAAGTGGCACTACCTGCTGAGCCTTAAGTGAATTAATATCTGTATGGCACTTGGGACAGTGTCTGGCTTTTGATAAATACTCAGTAAATGTTAGTTTTCATGATTATCGTATCATTCTCATCAGGCTGGAAACGCTTTTTCAAAAACCAATTGTATGTAAACCACCTTTTACCCAAATCACCAATCGAATGTTTCGGGAAGACTATCCTAGCTTACCACTAAATAAGGAAGGGGATGCATCATTACTGCATCTACCCTCAGCAATTGCCATTGCTTTGGAACTGGCAAAATGTTCCTTTTGTATGTCATCTCTTTCAATTTACGTTCTGCAAAAATAGAGCAAATCTTTGTTTGATGTAAATATTTTTTCAAAATACTAATTCTATGTATTGTATAAATAGTTTTCATTTAAATAAATTGGATTTTGCTATTGCAGTTCTCATGTTCTGTTCATTTCATTAAAATGTAAATTTTCCTAGATCAGCCCTGGATTAGCATTTACATTTTATTAACAGAGAAGGAAATAGTTAACATGAGGTTTAGGAAAAAGGATGCAGAATTCCTTAATGAGAGACTATTACCTACAGTTAACTAGTATTTTCTTCATGAAAATCATATAAACCTTCTGGCAGGTCTTGGGTGGAACAAGGACTCACCTGATTGTGGTAGTATCCAGGTACTCCTAGTTTGCAGGCGTCCAGGTTGAGAGGTTCTTTAAGGTTGTTCATAACACAGCACTGACGAGGCCAGGGGTAGTCGGCATCACTGTTCTCAGTCCGGAAGGCGGAGGTGTATTTCTGCCAGTCTGATGGGCCATTTACACCACAGCAATTGTCCTGTCAGCACACAAGATACAAAATTCTCTTCCATGATCCTTGACAAAATCACCAATGTAGCAACTGAGATTTCGTGGAGAAAGAAGAGATGGAAAGTGTATCCTATTTACTGTTTACTAAAAATCTGCAAATGAAAGCTGATGGTATTTTTAAGGTATTCCATTTTAGAGTTTGCAAAATACGTTTATATTTACTACTTTACTAGCCATTAATGAGCTCTGTAGCCTTTGGCAAGTTAAACTTTCCAAGCCTCATTTTCCTTAACTGCAAAACTGGGACAGATGGAGCACCTAACTCATAAGCTTGTGAAGATTAAATCAGCTAATACCTTTAATGTGTTTACACAGTCCCTGGCCCCTAGTAAACCTTTAATAAATGTTAATCATTTTTAGTATCTTGATACAATAAGGTGAGAGAGTTATAATTATTCTCATGTTACATATGAGCAAACTGAAAATCAGAAAATTAAAATTTTTGTGGTGAAGAAATTATGAGAAATTCTTCTTGTTTTACTTTTCTATTTTTTAAAAACTTTTTCTGGAGCAATTATGTATTATTTTTACAATGGGTGAAATAAACTAGAAAAAAACAACCAAACCTAGTGGCACATGGTTATGCCTCTACATAGGAAAGAAAGATCACTTAATACATAGCTCATGTCACTCTGGATAGAATTGAGGATAGAGGATAAAACACATTTCATATCACCTTCCTTCCTTTTTATAAAATCTGCAAAAATGTTTCAAGGGAAGGAATTAAAACTATGCCATCTCTCAACTTTTTAGGACAAATATATTCAGCAAACTTGGTGAGAAAGCAGCTACCTTAAAAACATACACATGTAAATCCATGGCTGATTCATATCAATGTATGGCAAAAACCACTACAATATTGTAAAGTAATTAGCCTCCAACTAATATAAATAAATGAAAAAATAAATAAATAAATTTGGATTTGAAAAAAAAAAGAACTATCTCCAAATCACACTATTTAATATTAGGGCTAATTATCAGTTATTTGAAATGTTTAAATTATTGATGAAACTTTAATAGCAATAGTTGTTTTGGGTATATTATAGGTATAATTTCAATCTTAATATATTGTATTTTTTATCTTAGTAGAGGCAAATATAGGTTTATAGGATGAGCAGTTTATGACTGCACATAGGAGAGATGTTTGACAACCTACAATTCAGAGGGATTCACAGTGGAATCCGTTAGGGGTATAAAATGCAAAGTCTGGTTAACTATTGAGGTAAATCAATAAGTCTGAAAATTATCAATGATGTTTCTATTTGTTAAAGAAATCTTAAAATTAAAAGACTTCTCAACAGAAAAAAAAAGCGTATCCTGTTTTGGCACTGGATTATGGAAAAAATCTCACCAAAGATATTCTGTAATTTGACATGAGAATTTTGAGGAGAAATGGTTAAATTTGAACCAGACTTGTTTCAGACTAGACTTTAAAAAGTTGGTAAGTGGATCTTTCAAATGTGTGACCATTCACATTTTCATTTAAAAAGCTGAGTTCTTTGCTAATTGAGTGGGGGAAAGAAATACTTAACCTCTAGTCAGAATAGTGATAGGAAATGAGATAGTGACCAAGACACTGGAGGTCGTAATGGGCTAAAGAACTACAGAACAGGAATATTAGACTAAATGAAGGAAATTTTAGAAGATAGAGTGTGAAGAGAGTGCAAAGAAGGGGTGAAGGCTATATATAAGGAGTTTGCTGATGATGTACTGGGAAACATTGCTAGTTGGTTGGGAAGGGGGACAGGGCTGTACAGAGTTGGGTCAGATAAGGGCGTATGTAGGAGGTAAATATGTACATTCTTATAGCCATGTGGGTATGATAATGGGTATTCTGCAAAACTTGTACTTTTGATGGTATTTGAGGTAACTTTGGATATAAGATTATGATTGCCAGTTAGAAAAAACTGGGTGATCAAGTCTAGAATAGGACTAGCCCACAGATGGGAAAAGGCACTCAGTAAGCAAGATAGATAATTTCCACTTGAGTTCACTGTGGGGCAGAGGCAACATTTTCTTAGTAAGTGGTACCTGAGTTCTAAGAAGCGGAGCATATGAGTAATCTACATTTTTTTTACTCCTATAAATGGAAGCCAATCAACGTCATGGTTTAAAATAAAATATAGATCTAGGGGTCCACTGAGTCATATGTCCCTGCCAGTAAATGAGAGGAAACAGATGACCTTGCTATGTCAAGGTTCTCCTTATTTTTAATTTTTCTTTACTCGGGTGCATCAGATCTTGGTTGCGGCACATGGAGTCGTGGTTGTGTCATGTGGGATCTTTGGTTGCAGTGCACGGACTCTCTAGTTGTGGCACACGGTCTCAGTGGTTGCTGCATGCAGGCTCAATTCTTCTGTGGCATGTGGAAAATCAGCTCCCCGACCAGGGATTGGACCTGTGTCCTCCACAATGCGAAGTGAAAGTTGCTCAGTTGTGTCCGACTCTTTGTGACTCCATGGAATTCTCCAGACCAGAATACTGGAGTGAGTTGCCATGCCCTCCTCCAGGGGATCTTCCCAACCCAGGGATCAAAGCCAGGTCTCCTGCACTGCAGGCAGATTCTTTACCGTCTGAACCACCAGGGAAACCCACACATAGCAAGGTGGAGTCTTAACCACTGGAATGCCAGGGAAGTCTCTCAAGTCTTTTTTGAAGGAAGCCCCTTTGGAGGTTGTGGTTCCCATACTTTGACTTCACTCCTAACCACCCATACACCCTTGGATACTGGTTTAGGTACAAAATAGAATCTCCCCAGCAGGTATTACCTGGAGCATGAGTCTGTCCCAGGTCTTGGTGACTCCATTGTTTTTCCATTGGTCATCATTGTTTGGAGGACTGTTGTTTTGGTATCTCTCCAGCATCTGCTTCAGGAAGAGGTTGGGTGTGAACTATGGTGCGAGGAGGCAACACAAGAGGAAGAGTTAGCATATTAATCCTCAGGGAGGCAAAGTGATGCTTAGCCTGTGGCTGGGGGTGCTGAACATTATCTCCTAAATAAAACTTAGCTCAGAGGCTGGGGTGGGGGTCGGGATTGGGTGTGAGGTTGTTCCAGGAGGCTGAAGTGCCTGTGTGGGGAGAAGACTCCCATCTCCAAACACATCCCAGTGAAACCCGGGTGGACAGGCATTGGAGGGTGACCTAAGCCAGGGAACTGAGAAAGGAAAGAAAGCAGGATGCTGAATTAGGAAGATGTCTTAGATACAGTGGATTACTGATCATCCTGGTGGAAGGCCCGTGGCTGTGGCAGAGTGGTGAAGGGCATGGCAGTGCAAGCTTGGGCCCTGGACATGGCCTGGACTCAGGATTCCTCTCTTTCATTTACCAGCTGCGTAACTTTGGACAAATTACTTTTTAAGTCTCATTTTATTTGTATCTATAAAATGACAATAGATAATTATAATATCTATATTAATATATAATATCTATAATACTATAGATATATATTATTATATAATATATTATATAATATATAATATAATATCTATAATAATAGATAATGCCTATTTCAGAGGGTTATCATGAGGAGAAAAATTATGTATTTGTTATTAATGTGCATATTACAATGCCTGGTGCAGGGTAAGGGCTTAATGCATGTCAGTTATTGTATTGTTATTATGGTAATGATGATTCATACAGTCGTTTCTGTCCACTTTTGGAGGCTGTACTCACAAAGTCTCGTTGTGTTGCTGCTGTGATACAAGATGCCACTTCAAAAGCATATACAATAAACATCAGGATGAAATACTGGAAAGGAAACAAATGGAATTAAAAAATTATGTCTACCTCCAAAGAGTTTTTAAAAACAAATAATTATGTTTTCTGTAGCACATTTGCCTAAATATAATTATGTAATCATTTACACAATTATTCAACAAACCCTCACTGATCAGTGATTGGAGCCAGATTTGGTGCTAGGTTCTAATCAGCTCAAGTCCCTTCTTTCCCCAGAGAATATAAGACTGTTGAACACAGAGCTTTCTCAGTTCAGCACCTTGCATTTCCATTTAAACTGGGGAAAAACATACAAGATAATGAACTGGTATTTCTGTGTGTTCATTCAATGGCTGACAAGACAGTCTTAGTGTATCAGACACTAAGTAGAGCCTCCTAACTTCCCTCTCTTTGGGGAACATCTTTATGGTTTACTGAAGATTTAGGATTATGGGGTCACAAAAAGCTGAATAGGGCCATGTTTAATATCCATCCTGCCTCCTGACAATGTCCAGTCTTATCAGAGAGGAACAGGCTCTACCTAGTGTCTGATATACCCACTGACGTATCTTCTCTGATAGCACCTTCTCTCACCTACTCCCACCCTAGTTGCATCAAGTCAGTTGAGTAAAACAGCGTATTGTGTGTTTTGGTGTGTGTGTGTGTGTGTGTGTGTGTGTGTGTGTGTGGTGGGGTGTGTGTATGCTCATGATGCTTCCACAGCGCACTGCCCCTGTTTGTAGCTGGAGACGAACTGAAGGACAAATGACTTCTGAATATGGGCCAGGGACTACTTTGCCGTCCTTAGCCTTGCACAATCTTACTGTCCTCGGGTTCTTCTGGGGAGGGGCGCAGAGGGAACCGTTCTTCCTACCTGGGCGGGGGCGATGGGTTCTCAGAGCTGGACCTCTGCCGCCCTAACCATTCCGCCCAGGAAAAGGCTCTGGCTACTGCTCACTCCCAGCTAACAGCAGGAGCCCCTTCAGAGGCGTCATGACAGTGTCCCCCACTGTAATAGTTGTTGCCTTGCTATTTGTCGAGAGCTTTGCTTGCTCCCCTTAAAAAGGCCCAGAACCCCCTTAGAGATGCTCCAGAAAGGAGACACAGGGTGCGGGTGTTTCTCCTCCAGCCACACGGAGGGTGCATGGCTCGGTCTCCTTGCCAGGCATGGCCAAGGGTGTTCCTAGCTGTGCCGTGCACACATGACTGGCTCAGTGAGACCAGGCCGCGACTGAAGCTCACCTCTAAGGACACCTTTCCCTGCATTCCTTTCCCCACCCTGAAAAGGTGGGTGCTTTTGCCCTGGGACTAACTCACACTAAGGACCAGAGAATGTAAATATTCTACATTCCTTGGGTGCCAGCGTGATGTTAGTCCACAGGAAAAGCAAACCAGCAGGCACCTTAGCTTGCTGGGCTCGGTCCATGAAGATGGAACTCAGGTCCTGCAGCCTTTGGTTAGGGGAGATAGTTCTGGGTAGGAAGTGGAGCCCCATCTTGGGGTGAGAAACTGCTGTCCTGAGCATGGGTAGAGGGAGTGGAAGTTTAGACCTAGTACCGAGGGTCCTTGGCCCGGCTGGCTGAAAATCTGCTTCCACCTGCAAAGTCAGGGCACAACCTGCTGTCTGCAGTTTGGGGCAGAAACCTCCCTATGGGTGCCCAGAATTAGAGCCTTCATAGGCAGGTGGGAGCTGAAACTCATCTCTACCTGGAGCCCAGCAAGTGTTTCCAGGGTCCCTAAAAAGCAGAGTGAATGCACGAGATGGGAAGTGTAGGCCATTCCACAAAATCATCAGCCTTGAGCTAAAAAATGTCTAAGGAGGCTCATGCTTTCTCTTAAAACTTTATGCATATTTTGTGATTTATATCCTAATATATTAACACTTGATAATAATAAGATTTTAAACTACTTGTTCTCAGGAGAAAAAAAATCTGATCATCAAGTTCTCACTTTGTCTCTCCTTCGGCCTGTGTAGCTCCTGGCTGTATCTGCTGGACACATGCAGACACCAGTCAGAGAAGCCAAGATCTAAAATGTACTTAGCCAGTGACCCCCCGGTGTCTCCCCTTCAGCCCCCCTGTACTGGACTTTCCTGGAATTGTGATAGAGGAGAGCATCCTTGCCCCCACATGCAGGGAGGGTCTTACCCTCTAGTCACCCCTCACCTGGCACCTGCTTCCACCTACCCCACTGAAAACCAAAGCATTGTGCTCAGGGGAGAAGAAGCAGTCCATCAAAATTGGTCCAGGAAAGAAGTGTACAGAGTTTTCAGGTCTTACCACCAGAAGAATTTTCCTGTTGGACTTCATGATGCCTACAATGCCCAGGACAGAGAGGCAGAAGAGGCAGATGCCAACAAACATGCCAATCCAGGCTGCCGCGTAGATGTCGTCATTGTTGGTGGCTTCAAGCAGTGGGTAGAGGCTGTTTTGGTCTGATACAAAGAAGATGCACTCTGCCATCAGGGCGATGCCACACATCTGTGGGCAGATGGGGTTCTGTCAGGCTGGTGGCCAGGAGAGCAGCGTTGGGAAAGGGATGTGAGGGGGGGCAGCCCCTGCATAGGCTGCATAGGCTGTAAGCAGCTGACTTAAACTCCTCACTGCAGGCAACCAAGCAGCTCCTTCCATCCTGTGAATTGGTTTCATGCCTCCTTCCACATTTCTCTCTACCTTAGGCTTTGGGAGGAGACCTAGACAATTTCAGACCATCCATAAAACTCTTGGGGGCATGCACCACTCGAACAATGACTTCTTGTAGGAAGATCATCTCTCACTTCCATTCCCGCTGCCCACCACCCTAATTCCTGGACTGTAATAAATACTTAAACTGGTCCTGGTCGTGTGTATCAGTGCCAGAGAACCAGGCAATGTTGGAGGAGGAAGGAACCTTGGTGGTTATCTCTCCTGCTCCCTTGATTTTATAGATGAAGGGTCTTGGCCCAGAAAGACAATGACTTGTCCAGAGTCAGGCAGAGCTGGGCCCAGAGCCAGTGATCTTGACTCCTAAGAGCTCTCACCTCACTGTGCCCATGCAGCCTGGCCTCTGAGCTACTCTCACATCCCAGTCCTGGCCTCCAGTGTGACCAGAACAGGAAGATGCAGACACCTGTCCCCAGTAGCGGAGCCCACGGAAATCAAACCAAGGTGGGAAAGGAAAGACACCACCGTGTGTGTGTTGAGGATACTTGGATGCTAACCATGGTAGGCAAAGCTCCTTTTAGATTCTGGTGTTTAAAGCTTGGAGGAAAGTATCTCTCTTATTCCACATAGTGTTTTGATATATTACATAGTTGCGTGCATGCTAAGTCGCTTCAGTCATGTCCGACTCATTGCGACTCTGTGGACTATAGCCCACCAGGCTCCTCTGTCCATGGGATTCTCCATGCAAAAATACTGGAGTGGGGTGCCATGCCCTTCTCCAAGGGATCTTCCCAACTGCAGGGATCGAACACAAGTCTCCTGCATCTCCTGAACTGCAGGCAGATTCTTTACCACTGAGCCACCAGGGAAGCCCTATGACATAGTTATATAGGATTATTCATATTGCTAAATTCTAGCTAGCATGTTTTACTGATACATTTCTTAAAAGGGAGAAAAGATGAAGGGAATCAGTCACTATCTCATTATTTTCCTTTAAAGTCTCACTTTTGTTGGATCTAAAATCATGATTACAGGAAGAGCAGAATTTCCTGGAAAATACTCATTACTTACACCGATAATCACATTTCCAAAAATCAGCAGGCCCTGGAAGCAACGAACTGTGGAGTCGTCTTTGGCCATCTTCAGGATTTCCTCCAAGCTGTGGACACGGTTGAGAACATTACAACTGGATAGGAGCAGGGAATAAAGACTGCTGCAAGCTCCACAGCAGAACTAACTCACACCATCATGCCTCCTTGTGTTCTGAAGCATCCAAACTAAGCCAGGCGGTCATTTAGCAATGGACGATGTTTCATTACTACGTTGAGTAATCACTGTAATTTCATAAAGCAGAAGAAAAAGGTAAAGCCGGTTTGAGTCTGATTATCAACTTTTAGGAGTTCTTTAAGATGTGCAACATACAGACCGCATCCTTCTGAGTGATGAACTGAGGCCCAAAGTCACCCAGGACAGACCTGAGGAGGTGACGAAGCACCCTGAGGTCCTTGGTATGGTTCTTCCTGCCCTTGGTCACGGCAAACTGAAGCCCAGAGGAAAAACATGTGGGTGGAGTGGGCAACTGGTTCCCATTTAGACTATGGGCAGCTGTTAAAAACCATTATTTTCAGGAGGTCTTATTATCTTCAAATATAGCTAGCAAATTATAAATACTCTGTCATGTTGAACGGGGGGCGGTGGGAGAAAGAAGGGCTAACCGTTCCTTCTATGTACTACTCTACTAGGGACTTGACATACACATATGTGATTTTCATAACCCAATTAGGTAGAAAAAGAAAAAAGGTGAGGAGGCTCCATTTTGCAGATGAAGAAACACAAGCTTAAATTGGTAAATTAAGTTCCCTGGGGGTCTCACAGCCAGTAAATGGAAGAGCTGGGCTGGAGGCTTGGTCTACGTGACTCCAGAGCCCAAGTGCTTCTTCTCAGCCCCATGTGGCTCGCAGAAAGTATTTACGAGGTTTAATGCTGTGTCCGACACTTTAAAAAATGGGTCTCTCCCTCTGTGAGGATTCTCTGGAAGGAATGCAGGGTAAGTGTTTGGGTGATTTATTTTGGCTTTTACACTGGAATTATAGCTATCCACACCTCTCAGTGTTTTGCTCATTAAATTAATTAACTATCCACTTCATGCACTCAGGCTCTAAATCAAAATGTATTTTATGACACAACTTGCATTTTGAGGTATACAAAGATACATAAAGGAGATTGATGCGTTCTAGAGTTTCGGGCTTTAGTAGGGAAGCTGTGCTCCCAAATCATTATAATGCATGTAATAAGATCTTAAGAACATCAGTTTTGAGGAGGGAAGAGATAATGCTTGCAGGGTCTGTGTGGTTTCCATGCATCAAATAGATGTGGGTGGGTGTGGGAGGAAAGTGGGGGTGACATTCCAGGTAAAAGGAAAGGAAAGATCAGGGAGTAGAGCCTTAGAAGAGTGAAGAGCCCAGGAGATAACAAATGAGCCAGTTTGGCTGAAGTCCTGGTGTGTGTAGTGAATCCGTGGGAAGCAAGCCTTCTATTTGACTCAGACCTTGCTAAATTGTAACTTCTTTGTTACACTCTAATGTAAGTATTTACAACCTTACAAGTAATCTTAAACATCTCTAAATATTTCCCCCTACTAGTTGGACTGTGAAGAAAGCTGGGAGCAGAAAAATTGATGCTTTTGAACTATGGTGTTGGAGAAGACTCTTGAGAGTCCCTTGAACTGCAAGGAGATCCAACCAGTCCATCCTAAAGGAGATCAGTCCTGGGTGTTCATTGGAAGGACTGATGTTGAAGCTGAAACTCCAGTACTTTGGGCACCTCATGTGAAGAGTTGACTCATTGGAAAAGACCCTGATGCTGGGAGGGATTGGGGGCAGGAGGAGAAGGGGACGACAGAGGATGAGATGTTTGGATGGCATCACCGACTCGATGGACATGGGTTTGAGTGGACTCCGGGAGTTGGTGATGGACAGGGAGGCCTGGCATGCTGCAATTCATGGGATCACAGAGTCAGACACGACTGAGCGACTGAACTGAACTGAACTGAACTGAACCCGTTCATTGGCTAGTGGTAGAAACTGAAGGAGCTGAAATTTATGAGTGGGGCCCACGGTGGATATCACCAGTGTCATCAGTATTTGCTGAGTGAATGGAAGAAACGGGGCCATTGTTACAAGATTGCTGTGCGTAGCTTCTGATTAGAAATGCCATTCATTTCTTTATGGTTGGAAATGTCAATTCAGGCTTAGAAATGTCATTTCTTCCCTGAGACAATTGCCCACTAGACAGAGTGGAGCCAGAGTGTGGAGTTAATGCACAACCTCCACAGAGGGGAGCCTCACTCACGTAGCCGGCTCAGCATGTTATGAAGTCTCTCACTGGAATGTGCAGATACTGCTCCTGACCAGTTGGGTTACCACCTAAACTAGGCACAGATAAACAGACGGTAAAATGTGGAAGTTCAGGCAAAGCAGGTACATATAGAGAGTAGAAGGTAAGTGTCTGGAGAGGCTGGAAGCAGCCTCGTGAGCACCCAGCACCCATCTGCAGGGGCAACTGAGTTGTGGTATTGGTTGGGCTTAAAGAACAGAAAGAAGGCAGTTTGTTCCTTTAAGGAATTTAAAGTGTGATGACAGCAATGTGGATTCAAAGCAAAAATGACTGTACCCCCATAGAATAAAGGAGGAAAGTAGAGCTATGGGGAAAAGGGAAGAGGCAGGTAGGTCTCCAAAGAAAGCAGGGAGCTGATGGGACCCTGAACAAAGGACCTGGCCCCAGTGGCCTAAATATATCCCACAAGGTCCCAAAGACAGGTCTTCCACACAGAGTTTTCAAGAAGGGGAAGAGACCCAGGAATGCTTTGTGGGAGAATTGCAAGTCAAAATTAGGGTGGAAAAAAAAATTAGGGTGGGAAAGTGCAGACCGGAGTGGGAGAAAGGAGGGAAGGAGGCAGGTGGGAGCTCGGTTTGAGGAAAAGGAGAGTGAAGTGAAGAAATTGAGACAAGCATGAGGCAGGAGATGTCAGGGAGGCAGCCCGGCCGGAGACTGATTGAGGAAGGCAGGAGGTGTGGGTGGGCAGGGAATGCCCTCAGTTTGCTGCCCGCTAGATGTTTCTCCTTTTCCACTATGAGTTCTGTTTTCCTTCCGCGGTGCTTAGTCACTTAGATAATGGCACAAAAGAACAAAGTGATGGTGAAATCTGTCATGTTGCGATCACTTAATGATATCCTCAGCACATTCTGGCACTCTGTGTTCATCCTCTCAGCAGACCTGAGAGATGGGGATTTTTACCAAAATCTGTGTTTGTTTCTTGTTACTGTTGTAACAAATTACCAAAGACTTAGTGACCTCAAAGAATACAGGTTTCACAGATCACCAGCCCAGGTTGGGTGCATGAGACAAGTGCTCGGGCCTGGTGCACTGGGAAGACCCAGAGGGATTGGGTGGAGAGGGAGGTGGGAGGGGGGACCGGGATGGGGAATACATGTAAATCCATGGCTAATTCATTTCAATGTATGACAAAAACCACTGCAATGATGTAAAGTAATTAGCCTCCAACTAATAAAAATAAATGAAAAAAAAAAAAAAGAATACAGGTTTCATCTTACAGTTCTGGGGGTCAGAAGCACAAAATGAGTCCCAGTGGCTAAAATCTAGGTATCAGCTGAGCTGATTCTCCCCTGGAGGATCTAGTGGAGAAGCTGTTTTCTTGCCATTTAGCAGATGCCAAAAAAAAAAAAAAGAGAGACTGAAAGAGATTAATTGCTTTGCCCAAGGCCATGTTGCTAGAATATGCAAAAGCTGAGACTCAACCCCAGATCTGCCCAGCTCCAGATCATTCACTTACCAGGGCAGATTGTAAAGATCTGCCATGTGGCTGACACTTTCAGAAGGAAAAGAAACACCTGGGTTGTTGTCTTGCCTATCCGAGAGCGGAGAGGGTAGATGCTATATTTTCCTGCTCAGATGATCTTGTCTTTGCAAAGGTCAGAATCACTAGGCCTCTCTTCACTCACCTCAGTTTTTGTCTCCTTTAACCCCTCAACACTGCACTATTTTTTGCATATTTTCCCTAAATCCAAGGCTGCACCTGTAAGTTGTTCTAGAAAACCTGTCTAGATGTCAGACCTGGAGTTCTCCCACCACCCTTTGGTAGCAAAATTTTAGAAGTAAGATGTGCCAACCTGCAGGTTAATGTGAGAGTCAGCATTTCATAGACTCTCCATGGCCACCTGTAGTTAGACAAGGTTGGTGTCTAGAAGACCTAAAATATTTATTACATCCTCCCAACAGCCACAAATGTCAAGAGGTGTGGCAGTTAGGGGGCCAAGTGCAGGTTTCTAGCAGCTCACAGTGTGATCTACTGGCTGTGGTCTAACGGTGAGCATCCCAGACTTGATGTTAGAAAGCCGAGGTTCAAACTCAGTCTTGCCCAGTCCTTACTGTGTAACTGTGGGTGATGCCACTCAGTGTCTACTCAATACTCATTGAGAAAATGAGTAGAATACAAGTTGTCTGGTGGGATTGTTGTGATTACCGAGATAAAAGATGGGGAAGTGATAGGTAAACACCAAGATTGTTTACTAACATAAGAAGTTATGAACAATAATTGGGCTGTGTCTTTGCTTTATGTACCAGTGACTTCTGGACCCTAGGAAGGAGGTTTCAGTGGTTACCGATGCTGCTGAGGTTGGGGTAAAGCAGCCTCTTTCACTTTCCCCTGCTCCCTGCTCAAGGGCTGCTCAAGGATCCTGAAAGCCTTACCCATCTCCCATCTTTGCTCCTTTTTATTTGCCATGGAGGGATTCATGGTGGGGGGTGGAGGGGAGCTCATTTAGAGAGGGAAAAAGCTTCCCGATGTGCTTGGGGTATGACCAGAGTCAGGTACCAAATTGCACGTCCATATGGGAGGGGCCCTCTGTGCATTCCACCGGCACTCCTCAGTGGTTAACACCCACCACAGGGCAGGCCTCGCCCCTCGGGCACTGGGGTGCTCTGGAGCCTCTGGTCTAGGCTGCGAGGTGATGCAGAAATGACCCTCAGTTTCCTCCTCTATACGGGGCCGCTTCCTCTCTGACACAGAAGTGACTCAGGGAGTACTCTGTTCTGCTGCCCTTGTGCGTTCTTTCCTCCCA